TTTCATTTTCGATGATACTCCCAAGAAAGGAGAAGAATCAAACCCTTGTTTGTGTTTAGCCAAAGCAACATGTCGCTCTACTATTCTCTTCCGTAATATTAATCAATCCTGAATTTATTAATTTATTAATAATGCAATTAATATTAATGTGGTTTTCACATTTCCTTAATACTACTTTATATTTCTGTGAAAATTTTTGCTATAATTTTTTATTATTGCAACGTTTTTTCTTCTAAACTCGCTGATTAGGATCACTCCATTAGCTTATCAGATAGGAAAAATTTTTCTAGAAAGTCACTTGGCGATAAAACCACAGGTGAGACGTGGATCACCCTATTTTTGAAGACTCCTTCCGAGTAGAAAATAGAATCTCAGGATCAGCGCTCCGAAATGAAAGTGTTGATAATAACTCACTAAGCCACTTTAATTCCCTTTGTTTTCACAACGTTTATCGTCCGACGAAGCTAGGTGAGTCGACCAGGTCGACCAGCCGAAGTCGATAGCAAGCATCCTCAATATATTCTCGATTGATTTTTATTCTCGATTGATTTGCTTCTCAATCATAATTCTCCTGTTAGCAATATTAAAATATAAAAATGAACTGGATAGCCAATGATTGGCTTTTTTCCTAATTTCACTTCAGGTGGTTAAATCAAATCATGCTCAAATATTTTGAATATAAAAAGATTGCGAACGAATTTTAACCGTTTCAGTGGCATTTCAGTTTATTCAGTTTTTTTTGACTTTTTCATTCATCCGATTCCGATGGGGAATAAATATCTAAATTAGACCAAAAATTACATAAAAGTCTTGCAAATATTGGTCCATCCTTTTATTATAGGAGCATTCTTTTCTCATAATTCTCTTATAATCAAATAAGAATTGAATTCCACGAAGTTTAATGATCTGATATAAGCGATTACTGCAAGCTTAAAACATTAATTATGAATTGAAGACGAAATAAAACTAATTTAAGCAGAAATAAAATATTTTAATTAACGAATGAATGTAAATAATCGTATTTTTGTAAAACATAGAAATAATGATATAAATAATAGCAATAATGGTAATAACAAGGAGGGACGAGGTGCTTATAAAATATTTAGAAAATGTTATTTTTATTATGGTATTCTCGGCACAACAAGCTTTCACAGTTATCGTTAACGCTTTGATCAGCGAATACACAAGTCCTGAATCATTCAAAGATTTAATCCTTTTCTAATTCTCTCTATGAGTCACTAATCCACTGCCTGCCATGGTGAAAGTATGGAATAGTTTTTTGATGTGAAGTGGGAAAAGAGGATGAGGAGGAAAGCAATATTGCTTCAACTGAGAAATTAATACAAGTCGGAAATCTTTTTTATTGTATTTTGTTACACTTATTCCACTTTAAGGGGCGCAAATTCGAGCAGATGCAGAATTGGGGAGAAATCATGAAAATCATGCAAACAGTGCTGTAGCAATTTTCTAATATCAAAAATAGCGTTTTCGAAATAATTTAATAGCGACTGCCTTATTTTAATAATTAATTGGCAACTTTCTCTCTTACCTTAATGTATGACTGAAGCCTTAAGTAATTCCGAAGTAGTCGCCTATGGCTTTTCAGTCCAAAATTGTTTTTTTGCTTCGATATTTTCAATCTCATTAAATTTTAAAAATTCCTTCGAGACATCAAATAATTGACTATTGACTGCGGTTTGTTTGCTATTTTTCCTAGTAATTAAGCCACATTGCAATAATTCTGAAATTTTCTTTCTTTTCAAAGATCTTTCTTTATTCAAATGTTGCACTTCTGACATTTCTTTCTTTTTTTATTTTAAGAAGCAAAGGACGATAGTCCTTTTGCGAAAACCGAAATATCGCTTCTGGAACTCCTTTTTCCTCTTCCAGTCGTCATAGCTAATTGAATTCCACCTTTTCCATTGAGTTATATATTGATATATAAAATCAGTTGAAGGTTTCGTTCAACTGGAATTTATAAAGGAAATAATAAAGAAAAATTTACAGTAAAAATAATGAGTAAAATAAATTTATCCATTAGTAATCAGCGAATAGCGTTCAAATTATAAACTAAAAAACAAATTTCTGGTGCATGAAATGATGCTTTAATATAACACGCATTTATACTTTGAAATAGAAGAAAATTGCATTATGTGTTGGGCAGAATGGTGGAGTAATACAAAATACAACAGAATGCACAAGAAAATAAAACGCTTTGCGGCCACTCCGAAAACGTTGGATATTTGCAATAGTAGCGAATTTAGTCAGTTTGAAAAGAAACCACCATTTCCGTTTAGACTTACTCGATCCTCTTGCTACTGGAATGAGGTAATTTCGCTGGAGGGTAATAGGGTAAATATGGAAAAGTCTCTAGAATTACTTGTATTTTTTAATGAAAACTTTATTCCTATCAGAGAAGGCGATCGATGCTTGAAATTTAAGCGCTACAAACCTTGCCGTATTGCATGCGATGCAACTGTATGCACGCACTGCATTTAAAATCGTGTTTAAAATATTTTTATCGTTCCTTCAATATTCGATGATAATTTTCACTATTTTTGTCCTTTTGATAAACAAATGAAAAAATTTATATGTTGAATGTCGTCTTTGATAGCATTTTTTATCGTTGTAATGATTCATTTTTTTCCTTTTTTATTTAAAATTATAATACAGAAGAAATGAAAAAATAAATGGGCGAAACCAGTTCTATTTAGTGGGAATTTGAATTGGTCTTCCTTTTTCTTCCTTTTGGATAAATGTCGCGTAGAAGTCACATTTCATCTCGTTAGAGAAAAAATTTCCATGCAATATCGGGATGGGCAGCGATTTGTTATAGCAACTTTCATCATTAACTGCAGAATGATTTTTTAAATGAAGACAACCTATCCCCACACGCCGTTCTCTTAGAATCGACGTTGTTTTTTTTTTCATTATAATTCGCCAGTTAATTTTTAATCAGCAATTTGTGGCTGCCGAAACATCCAGTCTCGGAAAAATATTTTTTATTTTTGTCAGTTCTATTTGTTTATTAGATATTCAAAATTTTCTTTTGTTTTTAATAAATCTTTATAAAATAATTTTTTAAGTGAAATTTTATTTTTTTTACTCGCTTTGCCACGAGATTTTTGCATGTTTATAAACTTAGATTATAGGCGAAGAACAACCTTCTTCGACTATTTCAGTGAATATAAGTTTATCACTTCGGAAGATTGTTGCGAGGCAAGAGTTCTGCCTTCGAATGTTGGCGATGTACTCGTATTTTTATCTGTAAAAGTGACTATTATTTAATAAAAACTTCTAAAGAGCCATGTAAAGAGCCATCGCAATGAATTTAGCCAGGAAAGATGTGCACTAATCACTTATCACAAATCTGTTTGTATAAAGATTGATTTATTGGTTCATTTATTATCCAAATTATTTTAATCCTTTAAATTTGATACTTTTTTGCACACTAATTGTTTTAAAGCTTTTAAACACTGAAAATTTCATTTTAATATTTTAAATTTTATGGGGAAGAATTATTTGAATAAAAAATTCGTTGTTTAGTATATTTGCATTAAAAAAGCCAATTCACCTATCGATTCGATGCTTTCTTTCCTTGAAATTAATCGAAGCTATAATTCTTTTAGTTCTGTTTTTTTCGGTAAAGACTGGTTAACAAAATCAGTGAAGTAAATGACAAAATGACAAATCACTTTAAAGAAAAATAGCCAACTTTTTCGCTGTCGCCTGCCTCAACGGATGCTATGACGAATGTCGGATATTTGGTAAATCGGTTTTTTAAGTTAGTTTCAGTCAATATTTCAATGCCTTAATTTTATTCTCACTAATATCACTCTGATATTTTTTCACTTTTGTTCGTTCATAACTGATTTAACATGCAGATTATTCTATTTATCATTTTTTCGCTGTTTTTCGCCATTTTTTCCATTTCATTTGTCTTTGAAATATTTTAACGATATTCCTTTAATTTGCCTTTCATAAGCGCAGACAAAAGTTTTCGTTGACATTTTGATAAAAATATTTTTAAAATTTTATTCATTTAACCATTTTTTTCATTTATCATTCTTGTGAATATTTATAGAAATTTTGCAAGGTCACTTAAATCAATATATTTATTTCAACTGAAGGCTGCTAAAATATTATTGATTGCTGGGTTAAAGGTTAAATTTCGCAATTCAGTCGTTTTATTATTTCTTATTCAGCAGAAATATTTGTGCTCTTCAGGAACTTGCAAAGTATTTCAGTTTAAAATTTTTAGAGATTCGAAAAATCTGAAGCAAACCTTTCTTTATTGAACATATTTTCCATTTTTCATTTTCCACCTTTTTAATAAAAACCGAAATAAATTCGACTGAAAAATAATTCGAATCAGTTATAACCTTGAATTATTTTTGCTCGATTCAAACGTTATTCTTCAGATTTGCTTGTACTAATTTCTTCAGTTTAGTTTGCAATTTCTTTGTGGCTCTTTGTTTTTTGTCTTTCTTTTGTGCCTGCAGTTGGTACAAATAGTAGTCGAATGGTATGTTGCTTCAGCTTTTTTGACGAAGCAAACTTGTGAAGTTAGTATATTGCTAGCTACACTTTTAACTCTAAGTGATTCTATGGTGAAAGAAAGTTATTGGAGTGTGCCCAACAAAATGTGATGACTGCTGTTGGAAGGGCGGTTTAAGAGGATTACTGACTATTATTCGAATGAACTTGTTTTTTAATGCGCGAATTTCTAGTGAATTTCGTAACCTTTACGAAGTTTTAGCGGCCAAATTTAGGAGCAATAAGAAGTCTTCAAAGTTAATTTTTTTTCTTCTTTTTATGGGTTAAAAGAAAAAAAGTTCTTTGTAATTTCTGAGAACCAGTAAATTAGTAAAGCAGTGAATTTTTTAGACGGGAAGATATTAGCTTGTTTTGTTCTAGAAAATAGCTTATAGGAGCCTTTGTTGCGATAAATATTAATATTAACGATGAGCCGTCGACAAATATAATTATTTTAGAAAGGAATAACGATGTGCGCGGTTTCTGCTATTAATTCGGAATCGAAAGATTTTCCATTGAGATTTGCCTACTCCTTAATTTGTAAATTAGAACGTATGCTGTAAACAGAAATAATTATGTGCTACTCCTTTTTTTTATATTTATTCCTTTCCTTTTATTTACCGAATGTCGTGACTTCTGTTGAGGTGGTGTTGAGAACTGAAACCTGCATTTCTTCTAAATTCAGCTAGCTCTGTGGCGAAGAGCTCCAAGCCTGCTAAACCGGAAATATTATAGGATGTTTTTTTCGTGAATCCGGGCAGCCACTGTAAATCCATGCAATTTTAAATTTTTTTTCGCGAATCTTCAAGTAATGCGCCATCATAATTTAATTTATTTATTATTCATTTATTTTATTTCACATATTTCGAACTATTTGTAAGGATTCATTTAAATCATACATGAAAATCATATACTTTTCTTTTGCAGCAAATATGATATTGGCTCCAGCGTGCCTTACTTCGTCGTTTTTTTTGCTTTCGGTTTTTCCCATTGGATTTGCGGAAGAGAATATTTTAGAGACAAAAACGGGAAGCAAAGTATGTGTCGGAGCAATTTGTGAGTCTCTTTTCGATATTCTATTAGAGATCTTACATTCAAAGAAATATCGCTTGATGTATTTTGCGGTAATAGGAAATATCTGCTGTTTATCGCCATATGGGACCGAACGCTTTGAGCATTAATATATAAAAAATTAGAAATTAGACATTTGTTGAATAAAAGCTTAATTAATGGTCGCCTTGATTAGGAAGCTTATTGAAAGCTTATTAATTCAGGTCCAGAGAGTTCAGCATTCCATTATTATGAATGTTGTGGCACTTTATATAATGAATGTTGTTTCCGTCTTCAAACGTGGCTGATTATTGTTCTTGCAGTGATAGGTGTGCTTATCATTGCCAGTATTGTGATTTCTTTGGTTAAATGTATCTTTTGCTGCAATTAAAAATTCTAACATTGATTAACATTGAAAGAATATCTGGATTTTTAATATTATCGAATAAATAATCATTAATGCCAAAATTATTAAAATTATTTGTCGAATTATTTTCAATTAAAAAAAGGTTAAGTAAAGGCGCCTTATCATAGGATTTATAAACGCTGGTTTTTTTCATGGATCTCGTCAGCATCCATCCACAAAAAAGAAACTACGGAACTCAATTTTTTCAAAAAATTTAACCATCTTTTTTTGACACTCTATTTTGCTGAATTGTGACGTTTTTTTTAGATGTATGTTGCAAATAATCATTTTCGTATCCTTGCTAAATGGATACATCCTTGATAAATGGATAAAATGGCTATTATTGGGAAGAATTTCTTCCCACATAAATACAATTCAGCAGTAATATTCATCTTCAGTTTTCTTTCTTTATAGCTTTATTTGCATTTATTACTTTTTTAAAATTATTTTTTTATATATTTGAATAAATTTTTAATCTACGAAGTTTTATTCAGTGCAATAATCAGCGTAAAAATTCATAGAAAAAAACGGGTTTCTTTGCAGATTTCGTAAAAAATCTTGAATACATGTATTGCAGAATTAATGAATCAAACAAATATTTCATGCACGCTGCATTAATCACAGAATTTGCTAATTAATTTATGCGCATGTTTATAAATTATTTGCCACGTTAAACATTTAATTTGAACTTGCATTCTTCATTTATTTTGAGTTTTTTTTGGAACTATTTTGGAACTAATAAGGAGTCCTTAATGAAACTTTTTGCCAACTTTAAATTTTAATATTCTATTTAATAATTATTTATTTCAAAATTCACAGTTTAAGATCTCATTTATCAGAATTTGAGCCTCCTCTTTCTTCCACTATTTTTTAAAATTTTAAAAGAATAATCCTTAGAATAAAAATTTTTGATAGAAAAATAAGGCTAATCGATGATAGGCGTTTTCACAATAAATTTTAAATATATTTATTTTAAGACATAAAAAATAGGCGATTCATATAAATCAAAAACAACAGTAAAAAAGACATTGAATTCCTTGCACTTAATTTTGATATTGGTTCTGGTTCTGGTTCAGATGTAATGTTGGGGGTCGATAATGATGCATTATCATTCGGGAATAAACCAATAACCAGTCCACCTTGCATTTCGCCAAAGCCTTAAATTGGCTGTTCAATAAATTTTTATAACTATGGAAACAATTAATCATTCCTTTCTGTCAATAAACAAATATTTGACTAACTAATAAGAAACGGTACATTCATGGTGTAAAAAAAAAAAATTTTAGTTAGAAGAAGGTATTTAAGATAAGATAAGATATATATATATATGTTATAATATATATATATATATATATATATATATATATATTAAGATAATATATATATATATGTTTTATTTTATTTTATTCTATAAAAAAATCTTAATTTTTCCCTTTCTTAAATTAAGGAAGGAAATGTTTATTTAAAAAAACTGATATGATAATTGCTTCGAAAATAATCGATAACGATAAAACCAAGCATTAAAACTATTCAGTTTAGTTATTCAGATAATTCAGCAAGATTAAAGTGTGCATAACATTCTTTTTCATTCTTTTTTTGCTATTCCTGGTTACCTAGGTGAAATGCTTTACCTGTGTATCATTTAGAGATAAAAGGTGGTTTTGAAAATGGTGAAGACTAACACCATTAGATTTCTTTTTGAATGATAAATTTTATTCCCGACAGGTGCCTGGCATTGATCAAGTTATTACGAAAATAACATAGGCGGCCTTCCCATGAAAATATCTAACAATATGAGCACTTTTATTTTGAACCCTTGAATCAGTGATGATAAAATTATTGATAAAAAACAATACCAGCATCTGTAGGATTGCCAACTACGCAGTTATGTGTGGTAGCAATTTTTAATGTATATAGTCCTTGTTTACATTCGCACAATCCATTCATACATATTGAATCAAGAATGCATTCCTGGCCATCTGAACAGTTTTCGCCTGCAGTTTTCAGAATGTTATCAGTATTTAAGAATCGAAAAAATAAAAATATTTTTTTTTCTTATTTTTTCTTATTTTTTATTCTTATAACATTCACCATATCTGATTTGGCCAACTCCACTGACAACTATAGTATCTTTTCGCAAATAAAGGTACCTTAAAGACAAAGATAATTGGGTCCTCAGAATCACTCAGATTTATTTTTTAATAGTAGATTTAGAAACAAATGTGTCGTGTCAAGAGGGAAAAGATATTTAACCCCAATCAAGCAATATGAACTTGGCATAAATTATAGTACCGAAATTATTTCACCTGGATAAGCTACTTGATCTGAAGCCAACAGTGGATCTAAATCTAAATCGGAATTATTCGAAGTTTTTTGAGGAATTTCGGACCTGAAAAAAAGTTTATCTGATTCTGAGTTAAATTTTTCTCGTTTTTTAATTCATGGTTATTGCGAATAATTTATTCCAAAAGCCTTGAAAATCAAAAATTTTATTTTTTTTTGTCTCATGGTATTTCGAAAATAAACAAATGTAAAACTTGTTTCTTGATCTTTTCCTGGCGATATTTAGACATTATAACGTTTTCTGGATTTTTGATGGCAATTTTTTTACTAAATAATTTCAGCCCTAAGTCAAGAACATAGATGATTTTATTTAGTTGATAATATGATTTGCTTCAACTGTTTACAATTATTTCCCGTGAATGTCTATTTTCACGTGAGTGCGAAATTTTCATGTGAACGAATCAGCTATATTTAAAATGCATGAGATCCACATGAAAATCTTTCATTTCATGTGAATTACAATGGGATCAATATGTAAATGGCATGTAATTCACATGGGAAAAATTTGATAATTTCCAAAATCAATTTGCAAAGTCCACGTGAAAAGCGTTTTGGATGAAAATAATACGAAAAAAATCGGAATTGAGGTTTAAATGGAAAATAGCACTTATAGTTTTGCTATTCGCAATTCGAAAATAAGCAATAAATATTTAGAATATGCGAAAAATACGTCTACGTGAAAAAAAATAATATGAAAGCATTTTCTGAAAACATTTTCTATCCAATTCCCTATTTCCCATTTTTATGAATTAAGGATTTTATTATTTCCAAATTTATACTCAATGAAAGGAATTCCAGGTCCATCCCATCCAACGTAAATTCCCTTAGCTTCGATCGTATTACTCAGCCAAACAATGAGCGGTTCATAATATTCAAGAAGTGGAGTGGCATCGAGTTCATTTGATCCTAATATCGCAAAACAAATTAATAAATACTGGAGAAAATAAACATCGAGAGGCAAAGTATTTAGTTTAATTAGCTTTGGCCTCATCTGATTTTTCAAATTTCGGACATGGCGATATATTGGAATAAAGCGATCATAATAAAAAAAAATTGGTCTTGAGTGGTGAACGGAAAATTTTGAAAACCTGTAATGCTCCTGATAGCTTCAAGCCAGTTTATAGCAGATCCTTGAGACATTACATTCCGCATAACGTTTACTTTCTTTTTATCGATTTGACAACCTTCATTCTGTCATGCATATAAGAATAGAGATTTATTATTTTCAAATTTACACTCAATGAAAGGAATCCCAGGTATATCCCATCCATGCATATAAAAATATGAATTGTCATGCATATAAGAATAGAAATAAGATTGATGGATTTTATCGAGTAAAATTTTTCTTATATATCAACCATCCATCTTACATTCATCCATTTTATTGTTAGAAAACACAAAATCAAAACTCATGATGGGCGATGTGTGCTTATTTTATAAGTACGAAAAGGTATATAAAAAAAGAGGAAATTGCTTTTGATCTGGGGAATATTGCTGAATAGCCCTATTTAGTCCTATTTATGTGTACTGAATAGCTCAACAAATATATCGACAAAGATATGAAAATTGGACCAACCAATCTTAAGCTATTCGAGCAGATCGACCTTCGAATTTGAAATTTTGTTATATAAGAAATGAAATGACGCGTGGTGACCCACTGGGTTTGAGCAATTGATGGAATAGCAATCGCGTCAAAATCATTGCTTTCTGGCATTACTATTCTTTTAATTCCTTGATAAAACTCACTAAAAAAATATACATTTATATAGTTACAATAATTATCGATTATTTCTAGTTACTTTTATTAAAATTCTATTGAATATTTTTTAAAAAGATGTGCTTCTTAATGTTAGTTTTTACTAGATTTGTTTTTTGTTATTTAGATAGGCCTTTAACATAAAATATCTGCCTGACCTTAATCTCCACCATTCCGCATTGCTATCCTTAATAGATATTTTGCCATCGAAAATTTTAAACCGCCACAGATCGGCCACAAGGTCGAAAGGCAATTGTACGAAATCTTTGAGAGCTTCATTAAAAAGGTGATTAATATGCAATGATTCAAACTGGGCAGTTTTAGGTGGTAGAAGATCCTGTAAATTTCAAAAGTTGATTAATTAATTAATTATTGCTTGAGGACAGAATCATGATTTTAAAAAGTACGAAACTGCTAATGAAATCTTGTATACTAAACGGCTATCGAAATTCGACCACTGAACATTTATTGATATTATTTTAAAAATGATTCTAGCTTTCATAATTTTTAGAAAAAATAATTTGCAAGGCAAATTCATGAACGATTTACCAGAGTGATTAAATAACCAGTATCACCCGCAAGCATTTCGAAGACATCAGCGAAGGCCATTAATAATGTTTCCTCTGGAGCATCTTGGAATGATATAGGTTGATCACGATAAAGATACTGGTAATACAAGTGAGCAACCAATTTATGAGCCAATTTGAAATCTGTTTCTGATATTTGAACGCATGCTCGTATTCTATATACCAACAACTATAAGAACTTGGCTCTGCCAAAAACAGTTAATAGACTCGTAATAATTATTTCATCCTTGAATTTTTGGATTCTTATGATCATACAAATGATATGTCTCACAAATTTTTTTTTTTTTAAATTTTTCATTAAATTTTGTAATAGTAAAAATTTTCCATCTACTTGAGCAAATTTTTTATCTATAATTAGAAAAATTGTCGATTTATCACAAACTGGTTTTTCACCACATTCTTATCATTTTGTCTTCTAACAACTCTCATCATTACTGGTTAGGCTGGCTCAGATTCCATTTTCAAATTCTTTCTTTCCATCTTATAAGGTCCTTAATAGATAAACCATTATTATCCCGTACCATTTCTCTGATCATTCTCTCATTATAGTTACTTTGTGAAGAAAGCGAAATTGTTTCCTATTATCAACTAATCGAGCCGCCGTCTCCATTCTCAAGGCCATATCGCTCCAATAGTGATTTCGCTCCGTGGTGCAGTTATTGTAATTCTTTGAAGCATCCGATAGTCAGGATCTCTTAATACTTGTATTTCGGCAGCCTTTTTAGACAGCTGAATAATTGTTTCCGATGCCTGACTAACGCACTTTCTACTAGTATATCCCAGTGTAGAAATGGTTAATTTTAGGATATATTCCTTTAGTTTGGACTAGTATCCATTCATTATCCCAGAAATGTTACTGATTATCATTTCAGTAAGATGCTTCAATTATTCGATTTGAAATACTCTCACTTTCCCCGAATCTTTTAATTTGAGATATTTGAAAGATCTTGAGATTCCACTGTTTCTTGCCAATTTTATGCAAATCTTGGCTCTGACCTAACATAAGATTGTCAAAAATCATTTTAGCGCTGCGACAGGAATTATCTAATGCTGAACTCTTTCAGTAGCGACTGTCTAAGATATAATTAATTTGGTTGCAGCATTGGTTATCCGGAAAGTTCCATGTAAAAAGTAGATGTCTTCTCCAGCGCCGAAAGCAAGTAAACAAGAGCTCAGCAAAGCGAAAAAGGTATTCTCCATTTGCACACTGGATTCCAATGCCATATTACTGAATTCATCATAGAGGTACCATGAATTAGCACGCATTCCAGTTTTCTCCGATTTTGGTCATGTCACTTTTCGATGAAGATATTGTTACCCACATAGAATCTTATTTTTATCGCGGTGATCCACGCTTAAAGTTAGAACATATACTGTTGACCGAAATATCGCAGAACTTATCTTTAAAGTGAGCATAGGCCATACGGTCGCTTACTGGTTTCCACATTCAAAGCAATGGGCCTCTTCAGAGATGACAATCGCTACACCATTTCGCCCTGAGTTATCCGAAACAAGACAATGATATAACCAAAACATTTGCTCCAATCCAGGATTACTCTAGGCTTGAAGTGAGGAAAGCTCCCACAATCAGGCGATATCCATAAGATATTTAGAAAGAATGTGGACAATGATCGCTTGGTTTGCAATTTGCATAATGTTCTGACGTTCCATGCTGATATGGCTAACACATCTCCGCGCGTGTAGAGAGCCGTTTCTCTTTCTCTCGGCAGGTTCCGAGTAGTTATCGTGGCTCGCAAGAAGTCATTTAACTAAGCCCATATTGCTTACTTATCGCATATACCACCGCGATGGGATTATTATGGGCATCGAAAAGATTTGATCCTTTCACCATAGATTGGATATATAGCTACAGGTGGGTGCCCAGCAACACCCGTATTTTTGTTATTTGTTATTATGACAGATTAAAAAGGAGAAATTCACATTAAAAATGATTAAATTTCAAAAAAAATCCACTTAAAAAAATTGAAAAATAAGAAAATCGAACAGATAATTGATGAAAGTTGATAGATGAAGTCTAACGATTATTTTTTTTTTAAGTCTCCTCACCATTACAGGTTAAACTCGCTCCAATGGCTTGTCGCATTGGGCATTATGCCAGGGAGTCCCTTTGGCGATAGAAATACGGGTGAGTCGTCAACATCACCCGGATTTTTGTACTTACTCCTGCGGGGAATCGAATCTCAGCATCGGCTCTCCAAATTGAACAGATTTATCCCCAATTATAACGATTATTAGCCCAACGATAATTATTTCTATTAGTTATTAATAATTTTGTTTAATATTACTATTCTTATTTATTATTATTATTAATATTACTATTTTTATTTTTCTTGTCTTTTAACATTTTTAATTAAGTTATTTTTACCTATAATCAATACCATTTCTCATGTCATAAGCATTCGGTGGATTGCAAAGCATATCTTTTGACCAAGATCGCTCAAAAACTGAATCAGTCCAAAAATTTTTTGGAAGTTTACCGAATCCGAGTTTTTTGAAAAATGTATATGCCTGCAAGCAATCATCATATTAAATTAAATAAATAAATCTGACATATGCTCTTGTTGAAATTTTTCAGCAACCATGCTTCTGCAGAAGAAAGCGTCCATCAACAGTAATTTATTTATAGTTACAATGATCATATATTTATTTCATATTTATTACTTGAGTAAATAGCTTTTTAGCCGTATAGTTTTTCTTACGAAGTTCATCTGACACTAGCTCCGAGAGATTTTCATCCTTATTGAAAGGCTTTACATCTTGATAGAGTGCTGTCCACCTTTGACCGGTCAAACTTCCTAAAATTGTAAATTATAAAAATCATATTATAAAAATTATAAAATTATAAAAATTTAAATTTTTTAATTTGACTTTTTCGTAATTTCTTTTTCTATTAAGAGCAATTTTATAACTCGGAATTTTTTTACTTAGCAAATGCGATGGTATTGGTCCATCTTTGTTCATCTCTTTGACATTTTCTAAGCCATATATTGCAACAAGTTTCCATCGCACGAAAGCATGCAGCTGAAAAATAGGTTTTTTATACCCATTTATTTGTAAGAATATTGTTACAATAATCTTAGAAAAAAGAAATGATAATAAATGCTGTGAAAACTGAATCAGTCCAAAAATTTCAGCCGCAGAAGAAATAAAACCCTTTGAGAATATATTATTAAGGAAAAGTTTTGTTATGCTTAAGATAAAGAATTTTGAAAAATGAAATTGGGCTAGCCTGCTTGTAAAACGGTAATATCTGCTCATAAATCCGTTGAATTTCATTTAAAAGATCGAAAGTTTCATTGACAGAGGCAGAGTTATTCGATTTTCGAGTGGATCGATTTTCGAATTGATTTCTCCACATTGATCCAGCACTGGTGAAACCATTTAATGCTGCACCTGTAAAACCACAGTGAACAGTTTTGAAATCTTTTTTTAAGCATATTTTCGATTACAGTAAAATGAATACCTGAATAACCCATCTATGAAAAATTTTATCGAATAGATCTCACCCTTGTTGGTTAATTCAATAAATTTCTTATAATAATCTGCAAATCCTTCGCCGACTGATGATCGCCATGCTTTCCAAATATTTCGTGCTATTGATGCATTTCTTGTCTTCGACAATATTTTATTTAAATCGAATGGCCTTTACAAAAATAGAACTATGAAAGAATGTCAAGAATCTCGAGCAAAGCAGATAATTAATATTCTATTTCATAATTTCAGGAATTTTGTGGTGTCTAAATAAAAATTAGTTTTCAAATAATTTTAGAAACATCGTTAATTAAAATCTTAGATTTTAGTTGATCATGTTTTTATTATTTGATGCAGAAACTGTCACTGTCATTACTAAAAAATATCTCGATTTTTTGTGAGATTAATTGCCTCCTTATTTTAATTACTTTAAAAAGATTATTTACTTTAAAGAGCAGACTTGTTTTTCCTTTTCTTCTTTCAAGCATGTTGGAGTTTGAGCAATTTTTTCACTGATCTTGAATAAAAATTTATTTACAATATGTCGATAATATTAACGTGATTTGGAGACTTGAATGTTTATTTTTCGTCTTTCTTCTTCTTCTAACTATTTTTCTTCTAATCATTACTGGTTAGGCTGGCTCCGCTGGTTGCAAGGGTAAAGTATTTCCAAGCTACACATCTGATGCCATCGTCCATATGTTGCTGGTCTATATATACGTTCAAAATCTTTCCTAATCGTGTCATTCCAGATCCTGATTGACCCCTTGCTTTTAACGCCGTTCATCACAGGGTGTAACAAGTAACGAAATATGTGTGGGGGAGAAGGGCGACGAAGAACATGCCCTATAACCTACCTAACCAGCGAAAGCGATGCTCTGCGATGGTACTGTTTATAGAAATGGTATCTGAACGTGGATGTGATCATGAGAGATTTTATCCACTCAGCGAACCCGTAAAGTGTATCTTAGATATGAGTGGTCTAAGGCAGATAATTTCCTAATACCTCCACTCTCATTGGCCATGTCTCTCAGCCAAGATCGAACGAATCGCGGCTATACAGACGCGAGCTTTCATTTTCCTAGTCATTTCACGACGAATCCTCATCAACCATTTCTGTTATCCAGATTTCATTTTTTGTCTGGCCATTTTGTATTAGAGACGATCCAAGGTAAAGGTTTAAGATCTGGCTTCCTCAACCGGCAACGAGTTTATAAAAAGAGACATTTTTCAGCTTCCTGTATATAAGACGAAAAGACTTTGGACGAAAACGAAAAGGCAGGAATTATCTCTTTCATTCCTAAAAATATTTGGATTTACACTAAATCCGATCTAAGTTCGATTCTCAGGCGCTGACACGTTATTTAACATTATTTGCATTTCGTCATAACTGTCAACAAAAAAGACTACATCATCAGCGTATTTAAGTTCTGTGATGCTATGTTCCGGACTGATTTGGACACCCCTTGAGTGCCGACAAGCGATGTCCATTATCCAGTCTATCGCATAGTTGAATATTGTATAGGAAAGGGCATAGCCTTGATGGACCCCAGTTCTTATTTCGAAGGAGCCTGTCAGTTTCCTGTGTACACAGACCTGCGCCGACGTACGTTCATAAAATGCCTTTGTATGTCGAATGATTTTTTCTGTATCATCCTCACATAGCACCGTTCTATCAATTGAAAGGCAGCCGCAAAGTCGATGAAACATATAAAGGTGGGTAGCACATATTTGATGTTCCAACTTCTTTCTTAACGTGAATATCTGATCAGCCCGGTCTGATTCAGATTGATTAGGAAGCATGCCGCTGTCCCGTACTGCCATAAGTCTATTGGGTAAAAGGGAAGCAAAAATTTTCGTCTATTACTGATTACTCGATAATTGTCGCAGATGTCGTATTATCCTTCATGGGAATTAGGAGCACAATTGTTTTGTTCCAGTCATCTGATAATATTTCTTTTTCCCATGCCGAAGGTGTGTTATGAAGGACGATGGACAACATTTGAAGAACCCGAAGACAATCTTCTCCCGGAGTTTTATTGACCTTAAGCTCATAGATAATGGAGATTATTTCATCTTCTGTTGGTTCGCAGTTGCAAACGTATGGCTCGACGGGTGAATCAGTTATATCCAGGTCGACAGATAGCACATCATGGTTGTATTTGGTCTCAAAGAATTTTTTCCATCTTATTAGGCGATCCTTAACAGCCACACCATTCACATTTCCTGCCATTTCACTGATCGTTCTCTGAATTATAGTTGCTTTGTGAAGAAGGTGGAATTTCCTATTATTATCTAACTGAGCCGCCGTCTCCATTTTCGCTGCAATAGTGATTTCTGTCCTGTCCTGTCTTTGCAATTTATCGAAACACCTGGTAATCACCTGGTAATCAAGATCTCCTGATATTTCTGCTTTAGTAGCGTTTCAGACAGTTGGACAATTGCTTCTGATACCCAAAAAGCGATACTTCCAACTTATATGTGCTAGCGTGAAAGTAAGTGGTTGACCTTCGAATACATTCCTTTAGTTGGGACCAATGTTCATCATTCCAGAGATGTCACTGATATTCAATGTCAAGAATATCTAACCCTTTTACCATAGAGTCACTTGAAGATAAAATTACAGGTGGATCCCCAGTAGCCTCTGGGTCTTTGATATGAAAAGTTTACTTTTATCGAACAATGTTGATTTAGAAGTTCAGGAAAAAATTCTCAGGAAAAGTTGGCATTCAATTTTTAGAGTAAAATTGAAAGGCGATTCAAGATAATGAAGGATTAAATATATTAATATTGATAAATATATTAATAAAAATCTCTGCTATCTGTTGGATATATACTAATGGATAAAAAGCTGTTTTGCAACATTTTGCCAATCCTTCTTTTTCCATTATTCATCGATGTAAAAGGAGTTTTTAAAAAAAGTTATCGTACTGTTTTAATAATATCCATTAGTTCGCCAAGGGAAGCATCATCAAGTGCATTCATTCCTGCGAAAGTCAAGAACTCAAATTGCTTTCGTAGAAGTGAATCAGTTACTACTGTTTGATCGAATTGATTTGCTTGTTTTGTCACTGACCTAACGAAGATCGATAAAGCCTAAATTATTCGTAAAAAACAATTTTCGTTATTCGTGGAACTTTAGAACATTAGGCTACTGAAATTAAAATTCTCTAGAATAAGAATGCAAAAAACGAAAGTGGAACGTAACATTTCCAACTCCGTTTAGCACCTCATATTAAATATTTCCATTTAAATCTTTTTGATATTTCCATTCTGATATTTCCATTTAAATCTTTTTTATAAAAAAGCAACCCTGACAGACCTCTTCAGCTTCCTTTAAACATTGCAGGTTATATTCTGTTAATGAAGTATGATAATTCCAGTTAGCCAAAGCCACCTCATGCAAAATTTTCTGCGCTTCTATCGCATAACCATCCATCCAATTTTTCGCCATATCAGAATCCTTTATAGACTTTGCTGGCTGAAATAAATTTTCAACATTTTTAATGTAGGTCGGAGATATAAATCTGTAGAAAAAATGATTAACCTGGAGGTTTTCTTCGCTCCAGTACATACTAGAATTTATCAATTTTTCGATTTCTTTATTCATCTTTTGTCCATCATTAGTTTCCGAATTCAAAAAGCGATCAACAAGTTTTTGTATAGCTTCATTATCAACCTCAGCAGGTTTAGCCTCAAATTAGAAAACTGCAGATAAAATAATTGCATAAATTATTAAAAAACAACTGATTAAATGAAATAAAAAATAATGTTTGTTGATGACAATATTTAATATTTTTAATTAAGAAATATTTTTTAAATAAAAAAGAAAAAATTTTCTACTTTTCTACTTTTCTACCTGTTTCTACTTTTTAAAGAAGCAAGGAAAATGGAATATTAGCAAAAAATGAGATTAAAATCCTCTTCTAAGTTTTTTCAATAAACTATTGCCTCTTGATAATGTAATGATTTTTGAAAGATCCATGCAAAATTCTGACCAAAAAGTAAAACTTACAGATTCTACATTGTCACCATAATCCTCGTTATCTTCTTGATCAGAAGCTTGCATAATAGAGACGTTTACCCGTTCTTGTGAAGTTGTAGAATGTGGCTTCATACGAATTATTGGCCTAAATTCGACAGCTGAACTATTAGTTCTTATATTGATACTCGTTTCTGTGAAAGAATCTAGTTGATCATCTGACTTTATCGACTTACTATCGAAATCAGTATCCAGTTCAGAAAGGAAAATCTCATGAAAAGCCTGTGATACTTTAGATGATTCTTGTAATAACTCGGGGTCGAAATCACTGAATTCATGGAATTTGTGTGCCGTTGTTGATACAAATTCTTGAACTGTTGTTTTAATGAATTCTTTATTATTTATTATGTCAAAATTTGTTTGAAATGATTGCTTGATGAAAGTATAAAGTAGTAATATTAATAGATCTTGCCGCATTCTGAAAATTATAGCATATTTAAGGCATTTATTTTCAGCTGTAGAATAATTTACAAGTCCCTTAAAGTCGAATATCAACGAAATGCGATAACAAAATTTATGTCCATAGTAAATTAGTTGATTGCAAATAATATATTAAATATCCTAAAAAATATCCTAAAAGAATTATTTTATGGTATCTGAATGAGTTTTGAAAAATTTTCGTAAAAATCTATAGCATTCATTATAAATCCATTGTTTTATATTTATCGCACGTGTTTCGCAAGCTTTTAATTTATTAATTTGATTTATCATAAATAATGAATTTATTTAATGAGAGAATTTATTATAATGACTTCTCACCATTTTTTAACCATTATCATCAAACTAAGTAAATAAAATTCTCTCAAAAAGTTTTTCTATCAGGTTTGGCATCAATGGCTGGTACAATTAGCAGTGTTTAGCAGACCCATATAAAATGCAATATCAAATTCTATAGCTTAATGTTTCAAGGCTAATAGTAGTTCTTAAGCTTCCATTCACTGACTGTTCTGTAGAGTTATTCTCAGTTGTCGATAATAAATACAGGGAAAATTTTCATTAGTCTTCAAAACGCAAAAAACAACGATGCTACGATAATAACTACCGAGTTTAATTATTAATTACATAAAAGGTAAAATCTGCCAAATAATTGGATAGTATTCCTAATGGATTAATTTAATAAATTCGTCAAGATCTATGTTATTGATAATTGATTCGCACTAATATGTCAATATGTCATTAATATGTTTAAATAATAATTCAAATATATCGCAAAGTTCATTAAAATATTTGTCACACGGCGAAATTCAGTGGAATGAACTAATTTAAATTTTAAATTTCGAAATTAAAAAAAATAATAGTGGATGAAGAGAAATTCTTCGATGTTTTAATAAAACACAAAGATTGATTCAAATGAACTGATAAAAAAGGAAAACGAGATTTGAGCAGATTAAATGGGCTTACCGAACTATAAAATTCGCCTATAATATTTTATATAAATCGACCTAATTTTCCACACATGGCGATTTTATTTTACACTGTTTTCTAGATTCAACATATATCATTTTTGATCAAAAGTTCCTATATAAGGGAACTGAATATCTCTTCAAAGATTATTGCATAATGTAGATCGCTTTGAAGTGACGTAAATGACGTAAATTTTAACGCAAATTCCACTGTTAAAGATTTTAGAATTAAATTATGGACGGAAAAAATATTTTCCATCCATTTAAATGATTCGAGTGATTTATGGATTTTTATATTAGGAACTTCTAAATCCGATTTATTAAAAAGTAACAAAATGTTAAAACTAATAAATTTTGCGGCAAAACAAAAATTTATGCGAGTTATGCCAGTGAAATTTAGAATCTAAAACTATATGCTAAAAAAACTTAAATCATCTAAACATATACCTTATATTCCCCTTATAAATTTATGAAATAAAAACTTTCTCAAAAAATAATAGAGAATTTGGATGAATTCCACTTTCTATGAATTTCTTACAATTTGGCCCGATTCAAAGCGAATAACAAATCGATTATCAGTGACGGGATTCTCCTATTAATCCTCCTAAATAACCAATGACCTAATTTAGAATTTCTGCTGCGGATGTTAAAATCCCTTCTTTCTTATTTTTCACAACAAAATTCTTCGATCTTTTAGTTAAAATTTTTATAATTTTTATCTAAAATTGATTTCGAAGAATCAATTTAAAAATGATGAATATGAAAGATGAACTTTATTAGCCCCTATCACAAGAGCTTTTTAAAAAATACTGGTCATTTTAAAAAAACTTTCCTCAACAGCTTCACAGTTATTTTTATAATGGTCGACCTTGTTGTTGAAATTATAAGAAAAGAAAATTTTTTTTCTCTAAAATTATCAATTTTTCTGCCAATTTGCTAGTTAATTTTTGAAGAAGTATATAAAATGAAAGGACGAGAAAAGTGAATTTAGATAAAATTCCTTTTATGTTCAGGCTACTCGTATTTCAATACTCTACTCTTCTATTTTATTAATTGATTTAGGCCAGACATTGTCGTTTATTTTAATATAAATTCATGAAATTTGGTGAAAATTTAAAAAGTTAAAGTTACAAATAATTTTTTTAAAGTTATAAATAATTCTAAAATACTTCCATTTCTCAAACGAGATTTTTAGGGAAAATGTGATAAATTTATTCGCATTACATATTATAAAAATCCCTTCAAAAAATGACAGCCGATAAAAGTTTCATTATTTGGGATTACTGCAAAATTAATCTAGCAATTTTGAACTAAGCCACTAAAAGTACCATGTTTGTTCATCATTAACAGAAATAATTTAAATTCGCTTTTATCAAAGTTGATTAAATGCTATCATAATTTTTTCGAGATAATCGATAGAATAAATTATTTTAATTTTACAAATTCAACATCATTGAATGAATTTTTTCATCGTTAGCAATAACATTTGCCTTAACTCTTGCAATAGTCGTTCTCACTTCTCGAATTTCTTCATCAAGTTCATTAAGTTTCATCATTAACAAGTCCGAACTATCATTGGAACTGGTTTGAAAATCACGTAACTCAGCATTATTCCTTTTGGTTTCATTTCGCCATTCTTCCATTTCTTTCATCATACTTTCGATATCTTCCTTAAAGGAAAATTTCTTTTTTTTATTAATTCTAATTCTAATCATTTTATTTTTTTAAAAAAATAAATTAAAACTCTTTGGAGTTCGAAATAAATTTCTGCCTTGCTTCGTGGGTAATTTTATGTTTTATCTAATTTAAACACTTTATTATAAAGAACTGTTAGATTTTTAAATCAAGTTGTCTCGAATTTTTTGTATTTTTTTAGCCTTGTATTGTATTTGTATTTTTTGTATTTTATAATTTCACACTTTTTACATTTAATTTATATATTTATGTAATTTTTAGAAATTTGATTTTCTGAAATATTTAAATTTCGAGCACAAAATGTGATTCGATTTTAGAAAAATTTTCTTGCCTGAAGAAAATCAAGCAATCGCGTTAATGGATAAATTGTTCGAGTCAGTTGTTGAATAGTTTTCTGCAGAACGTCGATCTGAAACTTCTCATTTTCATTTAAGAAACAATTAACGTTGTTTTGTTCTTTTTTTTATAGCACTCAGGATCTTCGGATTAGCTCGTTCCGCAAGAATGCGACATTAATTAGCCAAAGAGCAATTAAGAGGCAAACTCCACTTGGGATTGGTGTTATTAAAGGAAGAAAGATTGGAAATTTTCAAAAACTAATATTAATTTCAAAAAATATAATTAATAAATCAATTAATTTTTTTCACAAATTTGTGCATGAATCATGAAAAACGTAATTTAGACTAATCTATTGCTTTGAAGAGCTAAAAAAAATATTTCTTTCACTTTTTTTAAAAAAATTCACACAATAACTGAAAATAAGGCGGTGGAAAAAAATTTCTCAAATTTATTCTAACACAAAATAAGGAGCGCTAACTACGACTGAAAATAAGGCGCTGGAAGAAAATTTCTCAAATTTATTCCAACACAAAATAAGGAGCGCTCACTACGACAGGTTCTTTTCCTCACTTCATTACTAATATTAGAAATTTTTGCCAAAGAGCCATCTGGCGACAGAAGTAACCAGTACCGCTTGGATTTTTCACTGATAACTTCGAGAGATATAAGCCGAACATTTTTTTCTCATTACGATAATCTGGGTCATTATCTACTCTGCTCCTCTCTCAGTTGCGTGCAAATGTTTTGTATTGATATTTTTTTTGCTAGATAACAAGGCAATATAACGATAAATATAAATATTCCTAAATATTTTTCACCTTTTTTATAATATTTTATAATAGATATAATCGTAATCTTATAAACGAATTGCAAGATCGAAAAGTAAAGGGCAATTTGTCTCATATTTTAGTTTGTTGTAAAAAATGTTGGAAAATTTTTTGATAAATTGCAAAAAAAACTTCTTTCTTGAATTTTTCTCGCTCATTTTCGTCAAGGATGTTTATTTCTGCATAATTTGTCGTTTGGCCCACAACATAACCAGCTTCTAATTCTTTCTTCGTTTCCAGAATTTTTCGAACCAGAGCACCATGTTCATCTAACGAAAGCTGAATATGAAAAAAGGAAATGCTCAGCTTTTAATCGCCATTTTTAAGGAATCATGAGAAGAAAAAGAAGAAAATTAAATAATTTAAATTAATTTATCTATATGTTTAATAAGAAAGATTTAAAAACAGATAACAGATAACAGATTTCTGAAAATTATCTGTCAAAATTAGCTGAAAAGATTTTTAAAAATTTGACCTGAGCGACATCATCAGTTTGAGATGAAAGAAACGGATCTACATTAATAATAAATTCTTCTCCACCATCATCTTTCCTTTCATCAATAATTGTTGGGTTTGACTGGTTCTAAACATATTGAACTAACAATTCGTTAAACGATGGGATTTAGAGTGGAGCTTCTAACTCGTGTGATTTCAGTAATTTTAGCAATATTTTGATTATGATTCAGATAACAGCGGAAAGTAAGTTATGAATTATTTGGTGAATATTTTTTATGATTTCATCTCATTAATCATGGAGATAGAATTAGCTTTAAATGAATTAAATAGAATTAAATAAACTCAAAAATATACTGTTTCTATTTTTGGTGCACTATCTTCGATCCTCTTCTTTTGTATTTTAGGTGGGGCCTGTCGAGCTACAGCAGTTCCTGGGCGCCCCATAGATGTTTGTGGCCTTCCAGAAGTCAGCAATCTGAAGAAAGTTAAGGCATTTAATATTATTAATAATATTTATAATTAATATTACTTATTTCAAAAATAAATTTAAAAAAATTTCAGTTAGTCATTCGCATATGTGGAACTTTTCACTTGTAAAAACTTAATAGTTTACTAACTTAAGTGATTCTCCTTGTACCTGATGAATATTTAACACATTATTCTCAGCATACATGATATCTGCAATGCCGCTATCCTCGGTCTTCGCGGTACCTATAAACTGCTTCGAGTTATCCCATAAAAAAGCTGGAAACAAATATCAGTCTACTGCAGTTATTTAATTTATGCTTTATTTTACAAAAATTCATTAAGCAATAAAACATGAAAAGTAGATTTTGGCGATCTTGAAATATATGCTTAGCTTAGTTAACGATTAAAATCTAATTAATGCTGAAATTAACCTTTTATAGAATTTTAAGAGTCTTAAAAAAGGAAAGGAGACGAAATACAAAGTGCAAAATATAATAATAATAATTATTAGAAGTACCTGAGGGCTCTTCTTCGGTATTATAATTATTTATTGGCTTTGATCCAATTGTATCATCATTATTTGATATTTTCCTTTTGGTAATTTGGCTTCCATTTTTCTCGAGGCTTGATTCTTTTATTTTTTTCTTTTTCTTTTCTAAATCACTTTTATCGCGACTCTTTGGCGTCCTTTTTTGATCAACCTTATCATGCTTATCTTTCCTCCTTTCGCTTGATTGACGCGTTTTTTCTTTAGTTTCCTTAAATTTATAAAATACAAAAATAAAATTTCGGGAATTGAAAATAACAATGAACAAGCAGCTTATTGTATTGCATTACTTTTCATTGCGTAGAAATTACTAATTAGTTGTGAATAAACTCTAGCTTACTTTTATAAGTAAACTAATGTAGTTAATTCCCTCAGACATAAACGAAAATTTGGGTTTTTTGAAAAAAAGCCTTTTTTGGAGCAATGGCAAATGCTTGAAAATATTTCGCCATCAAGAATTGCTTTTTTGCCTTGAAATTTTAAGATCACCATAATAATTATAATTATCTTTCGACTACAAGAATGATTCTACTAATTGAGGAAATTGCAGAATTGCAAAAAGCCTATTTTCGCAATTTTCCCGTAAATCCAATCTTGTTTTAAAAAATGTAGATTCCGCTAAAAATATGAATATTAGAATAAATATGAATAATGTTTTTTTGCAAAAAAAGTGGTTATAAACCTCTATAGACTTGTCATAACTGTGTTTTTCTCCATATTTTTCATTCGAAGAGTGTTCTTTCCTTTCTCTCGAACCTTTATCTTCCTTTCTTTTATATTTTCCTTTGGATTCATTATCATCCTTATTATGCTGCTTCTTCTCCTTCTTCTTCTTATCAGAAGGTAATAATTTTATATGGAAGTTTGAGGCTTCAATAGCCAATTTTTGCAATAACTGTAAAAGATTAACCTTGTATTTTTATTATCAAGCGCATAGAAATTTTTTAGCATCTTTCATCAAAAAAATTTTAGCATCTTTCATCAAAAAGGGAGGCATTCGATCCATAGCACCAAATAATTCTACGATAAATTTTAATAATTGCAAAATCATTCTAAGAGTAAATATACCAAATTTGTTTGTTCCGGTTCCTTTCCAGCTACGATTTTCGCTGCTTTCACATTTTTCAATAATCCATCATCATTTAAAATTTTTATTAATTTTTGTAAAAACTCAATTTTAGCCATTTTGTCCACAACATTTGATGAATCTAATTCATTTGCAGTATAAATATTCTGAAATTGAAAAGAAAACAATGGATTCTTTCAATAAATATTTAATTTGTTGACATTTACCCTCAATTTAATTTCAACACACCAGAATTTCCAGAGTTTTTATTCTGATTTGATCTTGAGCGGTTGTGTTGCTATTCCTCTTAATTTCTTTTTTCAGAATTTCTATAAGAAAAAAATTACTAACTACGAGCTACGAGCTAAGTATTTTTCCTTTTTCTTCTTTTTCTTTTCTCTTTCTAAATTTAAGAATCTTCTTCTTCTTCTAGCATTCATTATTGGTTAGGCTGGCTTCGCTGGCTACAAGGATAAGCATATCCAAGCAGTTCGATCCGACACCATCGCTAGTAGTAATAGAAGTCATTCCTTTTTCCATCGTTTCCATCGTCCTAAGTCCATATATCGTTAATCCCTCTATACATTCAAAATCTTTCCTGGTTATATCAGTCCAGGTGTTGATTGGTCCTCCTCGCTTTTGGCGCAAACCATCACAGGGTTTAGCAAATAACGAAATATGCGTCAACTCCTGTGGTGGACGACGGAGAATGTGCCCTAACCACCGAAAGTGACGCTCTATGATAACATTATTAATACAGGTGGTATTTGAGCGAAGATGGATACAATCATGTACGATTTTATCTGCTCGGCTGATCCGTAGAATGTACCTTAGATATGAGTGGTCAAAGGCTAATAATTTCTTAATATCTTCCACTCTCATTGGTCATGTTTCGCAACCATATAGCAAGATCGAACGGATTGCAGCTACGTGGAAGCGAATTTTCGTCTTTATGGTGATTTCGCGACAGTTCCATAAAGGTTTCATCAACCGGAAAAACATAATTCTAGCTGCTTTTCGTCTTATCCGGGTTATGATTTCATCCTTTACCTGGCCATTTGGAGTTAGAGTGGATCCAAGGTATTTAAAGTCCGGCATTTCCTCAACCGTCAATGAATTGATAAAAATAGATATTTCATCAGCAACTTGTACATAAGACGAAAATACAATACTTTCATTTTATTATTATATTGATTTTGAGTCCAATTCTCGCTGCAGTTGTTGACACATTGTTTAACATTTGCACTTCATTATAACTGCCAACAAAAAGGACTACATCATCAGCGTATTCTAGGTCTGTAATGCTATGTTCCGGACTGATTTGCACACCTCTTGAGTGCCGACAAGCGATGCACATTATCCAGTCTATCGCATCAGTTGAATACTGTGGGGGAAAGGATGCAGACATGACTGACATCAGTTTTTATCTCGAAGAAGTCTGTCAGTTCCCCATATACACAAACTTGCGCCAGGGTATCTGATAAAATGCCTTTATGAGCAGAATGATCATCTCTGAGACACCGTCACATTCCATCGGAGCTCTGCTCTATCAATCGAATCGAAAGCAGCTACAAAATCAATAAAGCAACAAGTGGGTTGCTCGTATTTGAAGAGATGTTCCAGCACCTTTCTTAGCCTAAATATCTGGTCAGTACAACAGCGTCCCGGTCTGAATCCAGCTTGGTTAGGACGCATTCTACTATCTCGTGAGTTTATTCAGCAAGAGGGAAGAGAAAAGAGAAGATGTCTAGTAGGATGATTTCCTGGTAATTGTCATACGTCCTGTCACCTTTAAATATCTTGGATCCATTCTGATCCCAAATGGCCAGGCAAAAGACGATATTACAACCCCGATATCCCCGATCACGGCAGCTAGAAATGCATCCTTCCATTTGATGAAATCTTTATGCTGCTGTCATGAAATCACCCTAAAAACGAAAGTTCGCATAGCCGTGATATAGCCGTTTATATCTATATAGCCGTCTATATAGCCGTGATTCTTTCCATCTTGCTATATGACTCTGACACATGGCCAATGAGAGTGGAGGATATTAAGAAGTTATCTGCTTTTGACACTTTTGTCTAAGGTATATTTTACGAGTCTGTCGAGCGGTTAAAATATCACTTGATCCACCTTCTTTCAAGTGCCACTTGTATTAATAATGTTATCACCGAGCGTCACCTTCGCTGTTAAAGCACATTTTCCGTCGTCCACCACAGGAGTTGACGAATGTTTCGTTACTTGCTAAAAAGTAAGTGGTGGCGTCAAAGGCGAGGTGGGCCAATCAAAACCAGCCAGGAAGAATTTTGAATGTACAGATGGACCAGCAATATATGGACTTAGACGATGGAAAAAGGAATGGCGGCTTCTATAATTGTCGACGATGGCATCAGACCGCGCCATTTGGAAGCGTCTTACCCTTATAACCATTGGAGCCAGTCTAACCAGTAATGGTGAGAGCTGTTAGAAAAAAAAATTTATCTCTACTAAGCACAGTTCACTTATAATGAAAATTTGTAATGAAAACTTACTGCTAAGAAACCTGTATTTTGTATTGTCTCCTTAATAATATCGTGCAAAAATTTAAATGGTGGTCGTTGTAAAAGTTGATCAGTAAGTGGTGGACGTTGTATAATTGATGAAAATAATTTTCGTGTTTTCTCCGTATCCAAGCTCATTGATAAAAATGGTAAAAATTAAAATATTAATATAAAATAAAATTATTTTATATTATTGATAACGATAAATTTTATGATGACATGATGGTGCTGAACATAATCAATGTGGCTGAAAATAAATATACATTGAAAATAAATATACAACATTGAAAATAATAATAAAAAGTTCAATAATAAGCTTGATCATCCTAAAAGTTCTTGGTGCTTTTTTGATATTTAATTTTGTGGCCAACCATTTTTATTGTCATGCCAAGTTGGTTGTGTCAATAAATCGCTCTGTTCATCGTGATTTCTAGCTTTTTTTCGCTCAAAAAGCAGTAGGTGGTTTTAATTTTTTTTGGATAATTTAAGTGATCGAATGCAATGTGACTTTCAAGCAATTACATTTTATGAATTTGATTTGAGGCATCGAGCGATAAAAGCAGTTTGCAGTATGCAAATAGTTTTTGACGACGATCCATTAAACAAAGAATAGCATAAAATTAACTCCTAAAGTTGAATCAGGGAAAATTGAATTTGGGAATGCTTCATACTGCAGACGATTCTCAAGTTTTATGGATAAATCTCTGAAGGAAGTCGAGAAGGATAATCTCAGAAGGAATTGGCATTTTAAACAAGGCAGTTTTAAATAATACCATGTGGAATTACGTGCACTGGGGATGAAGAAAAAAGCTTGAGAAACGAATAACCAATGAATTAAATCAGCATCACCATTAAATCAGATGAAAACATTTCATCATTTCGAGACACAAAAATGGTTCTTCTGAAACGAATTTTTGCTTGCGATGATAAATGGATTCTCTGTATTGCAATATAAAAAGGTCGATGAAATGGCCCTGGATCCATGAATCTCAAATCTCGATCCATGCTAAACTCGACCTTCATTCGAAAAAGGTAGACTACTAATCCTTTATTGCTTAGTACACTACTAATCTGCTGCAAGACTGATCGACTATGGTTTCTTAAATCTGGTGCAGCAGAGCCCTACAGTAAGGAATTAGAAATAGTCAACCAGAAATAATAAACAGAGTAGTCAATAATAGATAGCAAAATAAATCTTATCATTTTGCATGGCAACGACCACAGGGCTCACTTAGCAAAAATTCGCCGAATTGAATATCGAGGCTCTCTCTTCATCTTCCTTATTTTCCGGCCTTTCACCAAAAAGTTAATATTTTTCAGTTCTCTCGACAATTTCCTCAGAGAAAGACAATTTCGAAAGCCTTCAGGGTCTTGGACCATTTTCCGGCATTTCACTGGTTTCAGAAATTCAACTTAAGATGGCAAAAATATAATGGTGCTTATTTTGAATAAAAATATCGATTTTCAAAGTCTTTTCACGAAATAAAGGACACAAAACAGCAAAAAATTTTAGGGTTGCCTAAATAACGAAGATACTAAAAGTTAATGACTGTAAAAGTAAATTTTACTTAAAAGAAATAAGCGCAAATTCAAAAAAATATAATATTTTCGGAAACATTGTTTAATTCGCGATTAATAATAAATAATTCTTTTTACTATATAATGGTGCACTTAGCAGAAAAAAAATGAACACAGCTGATAATAATCTCAATCAAATTAATAAAATTGATTAGAACCATTATGAATCCGAGATTATCATATGGTACATAGAAAAATCAATCAGATCAAGGATATGGATGAACGATACGGCGACAATGAAGGAAACTCTTGTTACCAGGGAAACTCTTTCGCAAAGCACCAATAAATGAGCAATACGAAAATCCATTGAAAAATTTTTAGAAGAATTTTCTACAACCTTTTGCAATCTATTTTATAAAATTATAATTTTTATAATAATAATTATAATAATATGTTATAATTTATTTATTGTATTTTCCTAAATTAAGTATGCATTTCACTCGAAAGCGAAATATTAAAGCTTATAGTAGGAATAGATGAGTAAAATATAAGATGTAAATAAAATAAGTAATTAAATAAATAAGTGCCCACCATTTCTCCTTTATTCTCAGATATTTACTATTTTTTCAAATTTGCCGTTTTGTTTGAGACTTTTTAATTTTTGAATTTGTTAAAAAATATAGATTTTCAAGTTTTTGGGTCGGTAAGGAGAAAAAAAATGAATTTTTTTAGTTTTGCTTAATTGGGATTTTAAAATATGATCATTTAATGAGCTTATGTGGGTAATCAATATATGATAATGTGGTCCACCATGGCTATTATGTCCCTTTGGAATTATAGAACTCAACAATCTCACGTGGTCGTAAATTTAAAAAAATCTTATTATATGTTAATGTTATTATTATTATATGTTAATGAATAAGCTTTTTTACCGGCTGGTTCTACTAGTCATTTAAACTGGACCAAAAAGTCAGTTTGAGGTGGACATACAATTAGCTCTGCATTATTCTGCATTACCACGCAAATTTTACGGCAGGCAGGTTAAAGGATAAGACATAAACCTAACGATTTGGCCGCAGCTGAAAGAATATTTGGCCACTTCATATCCCCCTAATCGAAATCATTTAATATGCTTCCATTCTTTGTATCCGTTCCACTGGCATTATTCCAATATCATAAATGCATTAAGAAATTTACTCGTCTTTCCATATTTCTGAAAGTTCCATTATGTTTTTTTTATTGTGTCACCTATCGATTTCCATGTTTTCATTAAATTAGCTAGATAATCCTTTCACATTGAAAAGAGAAACTGGCATTTGAGTGGAGCATGGAATCAATAAAAATTTCCTTCAATAAGCAAGCAGCCAACGTATATAAGTGAGTTTATATAGTTTAAATGCGCTGTAACACAGCTGTATTCCTATATTCCTCTATATTCCTGTCAATATTCTTTTACTCATTTTTCGAAATTTTTTATTTTCTAATTATTCATTTTTCATAGTTCTTTACAATTCTAGTCATATTTAATATGCAATAAGTGCAAATAATGTATCGAATTAGATGATAACGGCGAGAAAAACCCTGTCAGCAAAGCAATGTATATGTATCAATTCTGCCGGCCCTATCTTACCTAAGTAAGTAAGTAAAAGGCAGCTTATCCCAGTAGTAATAAATCAAATAATTAGATGTGATAGTGCCAGAATAGAAAAAAGAAGAGTTGTTTGATATTTCTTTTAAATTTGGCTTAATTTTAAACATTTTTACTGCTTACTTTTGTAATATTTTAAGTTTACTTATAAACTGTTTGAAGAATTTATATTTAAATTTTTCTTCTGGTTCCTGTTTTATGATCTTTCAAACCAATGTTTTTTTCCTTATACTTATTCATTTTGCCTAATTTGTGCAATTTATTTATGCAATGAATGACGTCGAATCGTTTTATTTCCATTAATTATTATTTGCTTTTCATCCATCGCAAATGCTTTTTTCTCTAATTCGCTTTTAAATCTTTTTTAAAATTATATTTCAATAAAACTATCTAAAATAAAACGATGCAAAAAGAAATTTATTCTCTACTCAGAATTCTCTCTCAAAATTTTTTAATCGAAAATCAATCGAAAATAAAATTTAGAAATCGAATAAATAAAGAAATATATCCAGTCATTAGTGTTGAATTATTTAAATTATTTTAGAATGAAATAATCAAATTGCAAAATTGAAACAATATTTTTCGAGAAATGATGGATACAGCTATCAGATTGATTATTTTATCGATCAACACCCGAGAAAATATAAAATGCTTCAATCAAACTGTATTCATGAAAAAATAATCAATAGAAATATTTTTCATGCCTTTAAAGCTAAAGGAAATTAAAAAATTCAGGCAAATATCGTCAGCGGAACTAGCAAAACCAATGAATCGATTATAATTAGTGATGGTGCGAGTCGTTGGAGCTAATAAATATGATACCAGAAATTGACTAAATTCTGAATTCATGGCATTCATTTTTTGCTAATCCCAGTAGACTTATTCATATATATTGACATATTTGAAATTTTCAAAAAATAAAAAATTTCAAATTTCGCTTACAGAATTTATTTATCATTATTTTTGCTGGAAAACGTTTAAAGCCAATAATCGCTTAAAAATTCGATAAATTGATTATTACAGCTATCTTCTTATATCTAAGAGGATTTATGGAAACGATTTTCTTTATTTATAGTAATGCGATAAAATCAAACAAAGGTATTTTTGATTTTTTCTTATTTCATATAAATTTGAACTGAAAATATCCAATTTTTTTTGTTTTTAATGGAAATAAACATGTTTTTAAAAGGACTGCAGTCGAGTGAAGGGTGGTTCATCCTGAGCTGCTGCCTCCATCGTTCATTTTTTTGTAGCATTAATTTTTGCTTTTTCTTTCATTTAACATTTCTATAAATAAATCATTTAATTCTATAAATGCGAGTGGTACAATGCCCACTTGTATTTCGATCGCAAAGTTGTGACAAAGCTGTCCCATTCTGACAAAAAGCCGCTGGAGTGGGTCTAACCAGAAGTGGCGAATGCTAACCACTTATTTTGCATCATTAAAGTGAGGAAATCCTGACGGCATCACTGCGTCAAGAATTAATATATTGTTTATTACTGCAGGAAGAAAAAAAATTTCTAAAGACTTTCTGGAACAAATATCAATGAGTGCCAATACTAGTACCAATGCGATATACTGCGGCAAATTAAAATAATAATATAAAGAAAGTAAAAAATGTATCATGGAAATATCACGTGATGCTTATCGTTGTTTATTGGTAAAGTGAATAAATTTTTAATAGAAATTTTCAAGTTTCTTCTTTCATTGCTAAGAAAATATGAAAAAATTGTTCCCTTCCAAAGGGCATATTATCTTAGCATAAATAAATTTTTAAAAGTTTCAATCTGAGTAAAACGTTGCATTTCCATTTTCGAGCTCCACAAGGAATATCTATTTTGGAATCGAAAAATCTTATTGTCCTTTTTACCAATAGTAAATTATTCTTACTACTGATTATTCTTCTTTGTGGACCATTTTTATGCATCAATTTTCTCCGTTTTAATTTTCCATTTTCCATAATAAACCACCTTGTTGCTAGTTTTTATAAATACTTTGGAAATTACGAAAAGCCCGGAATAAATCTTTTTCTTTTCCTTCTCCTTTTCCTTTTTTATAACTGCTTAAATCGAATCGATTTTATTAAATTTCATTTTATAGGAAATAAAAAACAATATTAAAAAATTTTAGTATTATTTTTTAATAGATTGGGGAAGGAAATTATATGGTTGCTTCTCGACGAATTTAACAAATTCACTTAAATTTTATCGCTAATGCATTCAACAAGGAAAATGTTGTTTAATCACCATAATTTCAATTTTAGTCAGAAGATTTCAACTAAAACTTTTGAAAATTAGTCGCTTTCTTTCTTCACTCGGGTTTGTCGGTAAATCATTTCATCAAATTCAAATGACTCGAAACTCTGTTTGAATTGAAACGGATTCCTTACATTGGTCACTTTTTTTATTTTTTAAAATTATTATCCAGTAAATTGAGACAATTTGTTTTTAATGAAATTTAAGAAAAAATGCAATTTATTATTTGAGAATGTAAGCCATGCAAAGAATATTTTTATATTATTTAATTTTACATTTTCATATGTTTCCAAATGTATTTTTTTGAATTTTGTATTTTACTGCGATTTTTCATAAAAAGTTTGTGAAACATTATTTATCGTTCGTCTTTGCTGTATATATATGGTTTAACATTTAACATTTAACATTTTTCGCGCATATTTGCATGCGATTTTGTTACATTGTCGACATAAATTTCTTTTTTTTCAGTTATTTATTCGTTATAAAGTTGAGGTCGATTTAGTTAGTTCATCATCCTTAAAACAATAAAAACGACAATTACAAAATGACAAATGGACGATAAAGGAAAAGAATTGTGTCCAAGATTAATCGACTATTTGGTAAATTTATTTATCAATTTATTATTATCTAATTATTATTATTATCTAATTTTGTGAATTTTTACTACATAAATATTTTTAAGGTAATTGTTGGTCGACGTTCCCGTTCAAAATGTTTCTCACAGTTAAGCATAGATGGTGCTTCATCATCGCAATCTGTAACAGCTCCAGAGTTGTTAAGACGCTATCCAACTGACGATCATAAAGATTTTAGTCTACCCACCGATGTAACTGTATTTTGCCAACCAGAAGGATGTATTATTAGAGGTGATTGATTGAGACTATACAAGAAGATATTTGAATTTTTGCTATCAAAAATAATGGAATTTATTTCGAATAGATATTTTCAAATTAATATTCCAGGTGCACCAAGACGTACACAATCGCTTCCAGATGGTAATAGTTTTGTTTTCACATTGACTGAAAAGGATTCGGCAAAAATTCGTTATGGAATATGCTTTAATTTTTTTCAAAGTTTTGAACGACCTAAGGCTAATATCGATTCAAATGCCGACGTTTCAAATGAAAAGAAATTCCGAAGGTACTAACAAATTTTTTTTGATTGATAATCATTCAAACAGCACAAAAATTATATTTTTAATTTATAGACAATTATATTTTATATTAAATATAATTGTATAATTATATTTATAGACAAATTATATTTTTTTTATAATTTATAATTATAATTATAATTTCGAAAAGCTGAGTAATTTTAAGAATTTCTTGCAGGAATGAAAGAAGGATGTCGTTGACCAGCTTATGTCTTATAAGTCACCATCCATTTTTGTCAACTTTTCGCGAATTATTATTACTTTTAAAGAAATTAATTGACGGTTGCTGTTTGCGTGTTCGAATCGACAATAAAAATGCCAAGTAAACGTAATTTTAAAATTTAATAATAAATAAGAAAAATTTTCAATCATCAACAATCATGCATTTTCTAAATACAACTATACTTTTCATTCATTTTTTTAGACAATTTTAATTTTAGAGATTCGGTATGGTCAGCACTCACTGGCCATTGGGGCGATACGATTCCACCACCTGTTATGTACGAAATTCGAGAATTAGAAACTTGGATTTTGATGATTCTTAGCACGCCTGTACCTGTTCCCGGCAAGACAAAAGTGCAGTTAGAGGTAAACCATCCATTTTTGCCTATCACTCCTATGTTTATTATCCGTAATTACTTTTAAGTACTTTATATTTTATTATATTACCTAATAACTACCTAATAACAACAATTCTGTTTGGCTTGAAGTGCCATTATTATTTATTAAACTATTTAATTTACTTTAAATTCTTTTTTGTTTAGTTTTCGCTTATAGTTTGTATTGATTTATATTTTTCCATGAATAACCAATCATACATAATTCATTATCTCTAGAAAATTAAAAAATAAATTATGTTCGCTCGAAAATTTCCTTTTATTTTTTGCTAATTTTTAGTGAATTTTGTGACTTTTTATGATGGTCTTGTGTTACTTCAATGGATTCGGAAGACCGAAAAATTTTTCCTTATAAATAGAGTTAAAGATAAAGTCTTCTTAAGTGTTCAATTTAATCTAATTTTAGAATTTTAGATTATTTACCTTCTTTTTTCCAAATTTCTTTTGAAAATTTACGATATCTCCAAAGTAAAGAAAAGCAAAATTTTAAAAGATTTTAGGTAATGCCATTGAATATTGTGCCAATGCTTGAATTTGCTTTGCCTGATCATACGAGGTTCTCACTGGTTGATTTTCCCTTACATTTACCGCTTGAACTACTTGGTATTGATACGGCAGTTAAAGTTCTTGCTGCTGTTATGCTTGAATACAAAGTGAAATTTTTTTGTCTTTTTATATTTTTTTTCTCATTTCCTTTTTTTCCATCCATTTTATTATAATAAATTTATAATTATAATAAATTTATAATCCATCAGCGAGATTTACTTTTTGCAATTTTAATTATTGTTGAATTCAGGTTGTGCTTATATCGCGTAATTATAATGCGGTTAGTATGTGTGTATTAGCTATTGTTTCACTGCTTTATCCGCTTGAATATATGTTTCCTGTTATTCCGTTACTCCCATCGTATATGTTATCAGCAGAACAGGTTGGATTCTTAATATTTGTGATACTGACGGCAACAATTTTGGTAAAAATTTTCTGTGAATTTTTCAAATATGTATATATCTTTCCAAACTAGAAGTCACAATTATTTAAATTTATAATTTGCATGCATCTTTTTTAAATACACTTTTTATTTTAAATTTCAAATAATATCATTTCATATCTTTCAGAAGCATTTATATTCTGCAAATAGCTTTCTGCATTATTTGATAATCTTTAGTTCCATATAATCGGTGGAATCATAAAAAATTGCCAAAACTGAAGAAAGCTAAGTATTGGCGTGTATTATAAAGAAATAGCCATAAGCACCATTCATTATTCGTAATGGGATGGATATGATTATAAATTTCAGTTGCTTTTTGCGCCCACTCCGTTTATCATCGGTATGCCAGCATCGTTTTTTTCCCAAAAAAATATCGATTCCGTGCCAAATGATGTGATTTTAGTGGATCTTGATACTAATCAGTTGATTATTCCTGAAAGCATAACAATACCGGACATGCCAGAACCGGATTGCTCTATTCTCAAGGTCAGTTTTCTGGTTGCTATATTTCATAATTCTTTATGAAAATTATAATTTGATCTACTCATAATTTTTTCCTATTTTTTCAGTAATATTTCAGCAAAGTTTTCGTAACGCTCTGGCTAAATTGAAATTAGCTTCGTTAGATTTTGATCTTGATAAAGGAGGAAATGATTTTGAAGCGAGTTTTATTGTTGATAGTGATGTGGTTGATGTTGCAGTACGTGTTGCTATGGTTAGATTTTTTTTTTTTTTTAATTTGTATCTATGGTTCGATTCCAATCATAGTACCAGCTACATTTCTATTTGCCATAGATTGAGTCAATATTGAATCAACTGGATTTGTGCTCATACTTTAGTTCGAGATTTCGTGATATAAGTTTCAACTTAAAATTTAGTATGGCTACTTTATAATTTTAATGTATTTTTTCTGGGTAAAATGTTTCCAATATTTTTTTCAGATTCATTTTTTTAACAGTTCGAATATCTTTGCCAACTTCAGTGAACATACTCGAACGCTAAGGTTATATCCTCGCCCTGTTGTTGCACTTCAAACTGAATCTTTCCTAAGGAGTCGTCCAAATTTTACTCAGTTTATTCTCGAATTATGCAGGTCGTATAATAATAACTTCAACAACTCATTAATTTCTTTTTCTTTATATGCAGCGTAAATTAATGTTAATAAAGTATATCAATGATCATGAATTCATCTGAAATTTTTAAAGTTTTCAGGACTCAAGCAGTAGAATATTTTGCTGAAAGTTCGCTTTGTCCTAGGAATGAAACTTATGTTCGAGTGCAAACAGGTATTGAAGCGCCAGAGCAAATTGGTGATAAAGGCAAGTGGTTCAGCGAAGCATTAATGCCAGTACATTTCGCAGTATGTCTTGCTTAATTTTGTTTTACGTTGAAAAATATTTCGATACGTTTAGATTTTGGCATATTTAAGGCATATCCCAACGATTCGACTCTGGCAGATGCATGGCATGTTTTTTTAACTGCAGAACAAAAGAACACTTTAGGTTTCTTTCATTATCTTCTTTTATGAACATTTTTACTTATTTATAGAAAAACTATTCAGCGAAAAATGCTACTCTGGAAATTTCTCTTCATGTGTTCGTGGGTTCAGTTTAATTTTTTTCTTAAATTTACAAAAAATGAAAACTATTTCCAAAATTTACCAATTTTTTCTCATTGAAATGGAAGTAGAAACATTCAAATTGCTAAAAATATTTATTTTTTTTAAAATCAAGTGCATATAAATTATATAAAGTACATATAAGTGCACATAAATTACTTTTTTAAAATTTAAATTTGATATGTATAAAATTCCAGTTATTTTAGTTAGCAGAATTTTTTTTTCCAGTTTAATGCTTGTTATCTTAATAGTTTTTGTTATTGAAATTTTACAGATTCTATCGGAAGCAGTAGCAATAGTCATACAGATGATGGTAGTTGCTCAAGCATTGACGATCTAATATTCGAATCGCCTGATGAAATTGATCCGACAGCGGGTACGCATCCCTTATACCCTTTTTCTTATATTTCTTAGATGATCTTTACCAATCAACAAAAGTTTTAGGACTTTATTTGTCTTAGCTTTCGATTTTGATTAAATTTCCCTTATTACAATATTTAATTTGTTTTTCACTTTTAATTTTCCTTGCAAAAATATTTTTTATAAATAAGAAAATTATATATTTATAAATAAGAATTTGATTGATATGATTTATAAATAAGAAAATTAGTTTATTAATATTAATAAATTAATATTTATTTATAGCAAAAAAAGTACAATTCCATTATACTTAATTATAATTCAGTGACCTCGTCATTCTTGATCGTTCTAACATCTTAGAAACTTCCAATCTAATGAATAAATTGAAAAATTTAAGTCATTATTGCAATGCTTTTTTTATTTGAAGAAGCATCAAAACCTTTGGCTGAAGTGAATGATATCTATCGAGAACCTTTAACGCTGGAATTGCCTCGAAACGATAGTTCGCTATCAATTGGAAGCTCGTTAAGCAGCGGGAGGCATGTTAACTATTTTTTTGAAAAATGGAAAAAAATAATCCAGTGGAAAATCTAGAAATTTAAATCAAATGGATTACATATATAAAAATGCTTTCAAATTTGGCGGCAGAAGATATGATAAGTATGGAATAAGGAACTTTACAATTTAAATATTTTAAATATGATGAATTTATATTCTCATAAGTTACAGATCAACACCATCGTCAATGTCAACGTCAGCGATGGATAGCGAAGCAGACTTTGCTAGGCTTGCCGAAAATCTTGCGATTAAAACTGATGCCAAGGTGAGCATCGGATTATTGAACAATTTTAATTAATCTTAATAATAAGTAAAGATTTGAAAAAATTGAATTCGTTGATTATATTCTATTTAAATTAAATTCTTTTTCAACGCATGCCATTTTATTAAGGGTGATAGAGCGTTTAACCATTCTGATGTCACTACACTCGTTCAAAGTAGAAAAATTTCGTCAACTTCCACTATGGAACCTATCACTCAGCATCGGAATTTTCCACTACAAATGACTGGAATGAAGGCGAAATCTTTTTTATTCTTTTCTTTATGGTTTCCCTAGACTTTTGAACTGCTAGCATAATAATAATTTTTAATAATTTTAAAATATTATAATATTGGCTATATTTCCATCGTTTAAACATTAGATATATTCAATTACAAGTTTTGTTTAAACAACATTCATTAATCATAAATTTAGAAAGATAATTTTCCCGACAATTTTTAGGGAATTGCGCATTTAACTGATTCGGGCGAAAAAGTTCTTGGTCCGCAATTAATGAGCGCTTTAAATGGTTACGCAGAAAAAAGCCACGATATGATCAACCAGGTGTTTTTTATCGCCAATTTTCCATCGTAAACCGTTTCTAAGTGTTACTAAGCAAAATAATAATACAAAATGGCCGAAATATTGCTAGAATATACATTCCTTTTCAGATGTTACACCGGACTGCCCCGAAAGCTCAAGCTTTTCGTGACAAAACGGTTGGCCCAATCGCTGCCGCTGCTGCTAATCGTATGGAACAAAGCCAACACCTTGTTAAAACTAAAGCCAGCATTTTAACCAGTGGTAATGCAGCAACACAGCAAAGGTTTTGATGCTGCAATATGCTTTCAAGGCTATTTCTTGCTATCATAAAGAAATTTTTAATGTTCTTTCGTTTGAACTTTCAAATTTTAGTAAAAATCAGCAAATTGTGCGCGATGTTTGTGATCAAGTTCTTGCCGGCCAAGGCATTGGTGTCTTTACATATGCTAAATTGAGACGCTTAATGGAAGATGAAAGTTTAAGACAATTAGTTTGCTCAAAACTTAATTTAGGACTTGATATCAAACATTCCGAAGAAGATTTTGTACAAGAAATGGTATGTCATAATTTTTAATCGAGAATAAGCAGCACTATTGACTTTTCATTGAATTTTCTCAATTTATTTGTTTTTCAATTAAGCATTTTTTCAATTTTTTCAGAATTTTTCTATCAGAGTTTTAAGGCTTACTTCATCGGATCTTCGAAATTTTTTTTGTCATTACTAAATCATTTGATAATTTTTTTTTTCAGCAGCTAATGAAGTCGCAATATAAAGGCTACATAAAAGTGCTTCAGACATGTATTAATGGCTTAGATTATTCTTTTATCACACCAGGATCTAATGGGCTCGCTTCGATGTTTCATATATTGGAAATAGCACACACGCACTTTTGGGCTAAAGAAAGTGATATTACTACGCCTCTTAGCGGAATTGCTAGCCAGGCACTTTCGATTTCAGATTATTCAGGGCCCTTTTGCATCGAAAAAATATTTACCTAGTTTATTTTTTCTCGTCAGATTCTCCTGACAGAACAGTAGACTGATCTTCTTTTTATTCGCAATAAAAATTATTTTTTTTTCGATGAATCAAGAATGAGACAAGTGAAAGAGGAATGAATTTACAATTTCAACATGAATTAGTAGTTCTTCCACGAATTTGGTCCTTAATTATTTTATGCTTTATTCTCATCTCATTAAAGATTTTTTTGTTCTTATTTTGAAAAAGCTAGTTGTAGGTCGCTACTCCTTCATCTTCTCTTGATATCGAAAATGAAGTCTACCAGCGTCCTCCACTTGTGAAAATTGATTCGCGACTGGATTTTGTGAATCCTTCAACTTGTCCTTCAAACAGCCAGTCTGTTGTTGATAAGCAAATGGATGAGCCATCACTATCACCAGTACCACCACCATTACCACCACGGCCACCTCAATCAATTCCACGAGAAATCAATGGAGTTTTGCTTCGTATCTTTATCTTTATATTGTATTCATACAGTCTATATTGTATAATAAAATAGGTGAAATAATTGTTTAAAAATAATTCATATCTTTAATTTCAGCTAGTGGCCCACCACCTCCCCTTCCACCAAGACCTAAAAAAAGCACAGATGAAGCAATGAAAAGACTGAGTATCACAAATGATTCTATATCAGTTTTTCCGCTAACTTCTCGAGCCAATTCTTTAGGAGCCATTGAGCCTCTACGCATGGACCACTCTCCAAAGTTTTCTGTTTCCTCATCACATCAATTCACTGTTAGTACTGTGCAGGTATTTAATTTTTTTAATTTTCTTACTTTCATATTAATACACAAAATATCGGATAGAAGCTTAAGCAAAGGCTTCGCGATAGTTCAGTTCGATTTTGAATCCAACAATTCTGAATATCGACAAGATTCCATAAAAATTCTTTTGGTAAAATAATTCAGTTTTCTATTACTGAATTGTTTCATAATTTTTCAGCCACAGTCATCATCTCAAAAGAATTTAGAGCAAACATCACAGTCATCAACAGTTCAACTACAACCACCTAAAAGTTTACCGATATCACGCGAATCAATCGTTACCGTTAATAGAAGCCCTGACTGTCCTCGCCACTACATTTATCAGGATCTAATACGTATTTTTATCATTTCTGTTTTTATTCCGATCAAACTTTTTTCATTCTTCTATTAGGTACCGTTTGCTTTAGTTCCCTCACCAAATCCTTTGTGGCATAAGATGGCATTCTGGGAAAGTGCGTTCTTCGACGTGGTCGCTCAAGAACGTGATATTATTGGCATGGATCAAGAGCCATGTGAGATGATTGACCGATACAGCGGATTGTCAGAATCAGAGAAAAGACGACTGGAATTAGATGAGGATCGCTTATTAGCAACTCTACTGCATAATCTAACTGCTTATATGATTATGTGTGGTACTGGACAGAAAGCCATTCAACAGGTCAAACATTTTAAATATTTAAATATTTATAATTTATATTTATATTTAAAATATTTTACACTAATAATTTGCACAAGTACTTTACCTTTTCAAATATATTCAAATTTAAATTTTCAGAAAATTCGTCGGCTTCTTGGTAAGGCGCACATCGGGCTTGTTTATTCGAAAACCATCAATCACTTACTTGATCATCTTCCTCAGACTGTAAGATTCCCTAAATTTCTAGCAAAAGTTTATCCTCATAAGATTTTTTATCTTTAGCAGAGTAATGGAATACCGTTGAAACCACTTGGAAGTCGCCTTATGCAAAAACAATCGTTTACTGTTTATTCTGGTTCAAATGCAGATGGATCAATGATGTTTTTGGAGGTATTTTCAATACAAATAAATTTATCACAATCTTAGCAGGTGTCGTTTTTATGTTTTTTCTAGGTTTGCGACGATGCAGTTGTTTTACGAGCTGTTACCGGGGCAATAACCGAACGATGGTGGTATGAACGTTTAGTAAACATGACTTATTCACCAAAGACGCGAGTTCTGTGTTTATGGCGAAGACATGAAGGCAAAGTGCACATGCACAAATTCTATACGAAGAAGGTATCCGAATGATTTATTGATCTATAAGAAGTCTTATTTAAACTTCAGTGACCTTCCCTTTCCCTATAAGAGTAAAATTATTTTAAAAGTCCGGTTCGTTCTTGTGACTCACCTCTTTTATTACCAGGTGACCTCTCGCTAAAGATTTTTAACCTCGCTGACAATGGAAGTAGCAAGCGAGCTTAACCAGAAAATGAGCTAAATACTTAATTACTCACTTATTTGACGATCCATGAAATTAAAATTTTTGCTTGAATTTTTATGTTATGTGAGAAACCTTTTCAAGTGTCGGGAGCTTTATTCCTGTATGAAAACAGCGATGGAAAGGGCTGCAGCTCGAGGGAAAGTTCCGATAGCAGGCAAAGGCGATTTAGGAGGAGAATTTCCTGTTCATGATGCAGCGTCTAATGAAGGTGGTTTGCTTCAAGTTCGTATTGATGGCGTTGCTTTATTATTTGCAGACCGTCAGGTAGTTTTTTAATTTTTTAATTATTTGCATAGTTTTTAAATAATTTTTGATTTTAGTTATTTTAATCTTTAAATTAATATTATGATATTATGAATTGCTCAAAAGTATAATAAATATTTGATTGCACAACACAATTTAATAGTGTTATATTTATATCCTTCATCCTTTCAGCATTTCATCGATTTAGCTAATATTAAAAAATGTAACACTTTTGGTGGCAATGTTTTTATACTCGAAGAATATGGTGATTTTTTCTAAATTTTTTTATTTCTATAAACTTGAAGTTGGGTACTTGAATATTTTAATCGAAAATTGGGCTGTATTGCCTAGCTTGTTTAGATTATCAGTTCAAACATTATTTTCGGGCCTCGCCCATTGGTAACTCGCATGGTGCCCAAGTGAGCATTCTCTGACGAAAATATCTTTCCTATAGCCTGTGGAGGTAGTCGTGAATGCCAACCATTAATTAAATAACGATTAGATGCTTATGTTTTCAAAAATAAATGCCTCATTCTTTTTTAGATCGGAAAAGAAATGAATTGATTCAGCGCCGATTTATGTCTCAAATGGTTGGTATAAGATTCATTTTTTGCGATTATTTAAAGTTTGACGATTTTTGTTATTTTAAACAGAATCCAGATATCTCGAGTTGCCTCGAGTTCGTTTCATTTTTTTTTTTGGTTTGTGTGCATCATTCTATTTTCTCGTGAAGCCTTCTGTGCTCTCTTCGCATGTCATAGATAATGATTTCCTACACTATTGCTGTTTTATTTAGGCTGTTGATATGGCATGGGCTCTTCATCGTGTTTTTTCCATACATTTAACTATATCAGAATTTGGACAACTCGAAAATATATATTCGGATGTCTTAAGCGAGCAAAACTATTTATCAATTATAATAGACAATTTTGCTTCAAACAATAATGTAATTGACTGTAAATCAACAATGCTTTGTGAAAATAAAAATACTGATTGTGCAGAGGTCACCAATGATAAATGTGCTTATAATATTCCTGAAACAAGTGAACAAAAGGAGTCTCATTAAAGTAATTTTTGTGTCAACTAGCATTCTCTAATTCCAGAAAAAGGCAACTTTACCTATTATTGTAAATATTGCTTTAGCTACTGTGTTTAGAAATTTTCAATGTTTCTCATTAAATAACTTCTGACTGGTCAAATGTTGCATCCTTATTATTAATATCATGGTCAGTTTTGCACATATATATATATTATATTTCCATATTTCTTTTTGTTTTCAGTTTTGTATTTTGCTATGCGATTTATTTATTTTGCACTAATTGTTTGCATGACAATAGCATTTACTTTCAGAAAAAGGGAACTTTACCTATTATTGGTCAATCGGATTTTAAAAATTGCGTTTCAGGCAGATCAAATTTGTTATGCCGTATTATGCGTTTTTTCATTTGCTGCTGCAGCACGAAACCATAGCGAAAATAGCAAATTAAGGCAAAAATCATCGAAAAAACAACATTCATCATCACAAAAACCACTTCGACCCCCAATGCCCAGTATTATATCGGGAAGAAAGTAATGATGATCGATTCATTTGAATATTTTTATGAAGGAATTGTTATTGTCAGTCGATTTTGTTTCTCTTTTTTTCACCAATATCATTAATTTATTACGAATTGAGGATTTCATAATTTGCCACAGTTAGCATAATGTGAAATTAAAGGCAAAGGTAAAGATGTGAATAGAAGTGAACCATCCGTTCTTATAATTTTCATAATGTCTACGAAATCGAAGTCCTTTTTCGATTACAATGAGTGCCAAATGAATGGGGCAGAAGAAGAAGAGTAAAAGGAGGAGTGGTTCTGACAGGAATAAATCTATCATTAAAAGAAACCCGGTGGTGTTGGTATTCACCTGGCACTTGCTACTGCCCTGTAATAACTATGCGACAAAAATGTCGCATCCTAATAGCCAATGGAGCGTGACTAAGCTTCAAAATGATAGGTGCTAACCACTTATTAAATTGATAATAATGATAAATTGATAGTAAATTCATCATTAGAATATACAATAAATAAACTCTATAGAAATTTACTGTTCTATTTATTTTGTAAATATTACTTATTATCGTTCTTCTAATCTCTGCGATATAAATAAACTGAAGTACAATTCTTCATTTGACTACATGGAAGGAAAATTCATGCGTAGCCCCACTATTTTATCGCCACCGATTCTATTCGTTCGTTTTTATTCGATATAAAAAGTAAAATGGTTATCACGTTTCTTGATAAAACCATTGATTTATTTTTTTTGCTTCTTTTAAGGAAATATCATCCACACCTTTCCAAAATTTGTGTGGGTGTTTATATTTATGTTTTTTAATCGGCGAATTTGGGATAACCCATTTCAGAGCGTCGAATTTGATGCTTTATTGATTTTCTGCTGTGTTAAAGCACTTTCTATAGATTTCCTATCATCTTGGTCTCGACAAAGCATGAGCGATGGTTTCTGCAATGGATTAATAATTGATAACGATGGTACTTGATTTCCTTCAATCCTGCGAATTGTCCCATATATTTCGATATTTTTCTCCTAGATATAAGTTACATACCTTAAGCATTGAAATAAAATGCGGCACATCAGTTTCGGAATCCAGCTTTGTTAAACATAACTGTGGTTTTTTTGGTTGGTCCAAAACAAAAGTGCTTCTTCTAAATTGAAAGAAAACCATTTAGTCAAAGTCTAGATGAGGAGTGAAATAATTAAATTATTGTAAATAGTAATAAAATATTTTTACGTTCATTAAGTTTACGGTCGACAATGAAGAAGAATACCTTCTTTCAGCCGATCGAAATCGTGTGCGTTTATGGTACATGTCGACGGCAACGATATCATATTTTTTAACAAATGCTCTAAACATGAGCTAATTGTTAATTATTATTAATTAATTTCTGCTTGTTTATTTTTCATTGAATTACTTTGTTTTTAATCTCATAGGTAATCATTAGTAGTTATTGCCTATCTTCATATTATAGCGCTATGGGATAACTCGAGGTGAAATAGCGATTTTCATATCTAATAAGGCACGATCCTCCTTAACTGAGTGAAAACTAGCTTATGACTGACCTGTATACGCTTCAAAAAGAAGATTATCACGTTTTTGCACTGTCACGACCTTTAGTCTACATGGTCCTATTTTATGAGCAAATGAGCGTCGCAGAAGTAGAGATGTGTTTTGTGTGGCTATTCTAACTTTACATCCACCGAGCCTTTCAAAGTGGTCACAATCGAGGAAGATCGCAATGGATGAGAAAAAATTGGAAAACTGGTAACGTAGGTCGATTCGCTCTATAGTTGAATATGATGTTGGGACCGGTCCCAATGGAGAATGTCTTGTTTATCGGGGTGCATGCTCTTTGCTACCAATTCATAATCAAATTGGTTATCCTGGGCAGTTATCGTTGAAAAAGTTGAAAAAGTACTAAATAGCTGTTGCTGATGGTCTGAATATGGAGATGGCTGCTTCAGCAGGCAATAATAGAGCTTTGGCCGCTTTATAGGATGCAAGGAATTCCTTGAGGACTTAACCATGTCAGTCGTCATCCTAGGTATGAGCAATGTTTGCAATTCCCACCCACTAACAAGGGAAGAAATATTCATCATTCAGAAACTCGGATGCTAATAAAGCTCCCGAAGAAAACATGAGGTTTTAAAATGTCCACCATCTTTCACATCTCCGACGGATGCTATGGTCTGAAAAAAGATTAATTCCAGATGGCTGGAGCAGATGTTTCAGATGTTTCAAAATTCTTAAAATTCTTATTTAAAATTCTTATTTTAAAGAATTCTTAAATTCTTTAAAAAGGAAAGCAAAAATTTCCTACAATAAATGTTAGCTAATATTTAACCTTCTCTCAAATATCAATAACTTCGCTTACATTCTTCACCGCTTATCATCGTAGTTGTCATATATCTCGTTATTTGTTAAACTTTGTGTTGGATGGTTGAAAATGAGAGAAATAATGGAAATCTAATTGTTACATCAGGAAAGATTTTGAAAAATGATCCAGCTACATATGGGCTTAGACGATGGAAAAAGGAATCGCTTCTGTAACTATCATGTCGGGTCGCATGGCTTGAAAACGCCTTATCCTTATGGTCAGTATAATAGCATTACAATTATGAATAAGCTTATAATGACCATTCGAAAAATAGTTTTATTAGTTTTAAATAGTTTAACTACCTGATACGAAATTGATTATATGTAAATGCATCACGTTTGGCCATAAAAACTAGAACAGAGAGGAGAGCTGCAGTTTCATTGCCAAGAAATGAGATCTAATGAAAATGAGAAATTAAAATTATTCGATTTGGTAAAATTTGATAAAAGTAATTTTCTCCTTACAAATTCCTGTTTCCTTATAAATTCAATGCCAAATTTTAACAGTGTTAATAGATGGAATATTCCATTACTGATTTGAGAGATCACATTATGTTTTTCATGAAGAAAATATATAAGTAGCACAAGCTTAAACCTTGAGCATGATGAATGAATAACCATATGAATAGTGAAAGAGAGGATCATCCATTCTGGACGACGCATATTGCTTATTGCCGACTTCTTTTGCCACTGATGCCATATAAACTATGATACAAGCGAAATTTGCCATTCCTAAATTATAATTTTTCTCATTTTTATTTGTTCATATTTTATTTATTTGCCTATTTAAGTATAAACCGAATAGGACAGATGAAGCCAGAGCAAATAAGAATATAAATGAATGGCACAAAGCAATACAGCAAAAAAAAGGAAAGAACAAACTATGCTAGTATTGGATCGATGCTGCCAAGTTTTTTTTAAAAAAATTTGGTGATTCTGTTGGGATTTCTTTTAAACTTAAAGATAAATGAAGCAAAACTAAGGTTCTGTGGTGCCTTACTCCTATGTTGCATAATTGACAAAAAGTTGTGAGATAGGACATTGGCCCTATAGATATCATTACGTAAATTCAATCTATTCTTCTTCTAACAGCTCTCACCATTACTGGTTAGGCTGGCTCCACGGCTACAAGGGTAAGACGCTTCCAAACGGCGCGGTCTGATGCCATCGTCGACAGTAATAAAAGCCATTCATTTTTCCATCATCTAAGTCCATATATTACTGGTCCACCTATACGTTCAAAATCTTTTCTCACCGTATCAGTCCAAGTCTTGATTGGAACACCTCGCTTTTGACGCCAACCATCACACAGTTTAGCAAATAACGAAATATGCTTCAAATCCTGTGGTGGACGACGGAGAATGTGCCCTAACCAGCGAAGGCGGCGTTCTATGACATTATTTATGCAAGTGTTATTTGAACGAAGATGGATGCGATCTTGTGATATCTTATCCGCTCGGATCCGTAATACGTACCTTAGACAAGAATGGTCAAAGGCAGATAACTTCTTAATATCCTCCACTCTCATTGGCCATGTCTCAGAACCATATAGTAAGATCGAACGGATCACTGCATTATAGATGCGGATTTTCGTTTTTATGATGATTTCACGACGATTCCATAAAGGTTTCGTTAACCGGAAGAACGCATTTCTAGCTGCCGTGATCCGAGTTGTAATATCGTCTTTTGCCTGTCCATTTAGCATTAGAGTGGACCCAAGGTATTTGAAATCGGGCACTTCCTCAATCGGCAATGAATTTACAAGAAATTTACAATGAAAAGAGGCATTTTATCAGTTTTTTGCACATAAGACGAAACAAAAACGAAAAGACTTTCGTTTTATTTACATTGATCCTGAGTCCGATTTTTGGTGCAGTTTCTGACACATTATTTATCATTACTTGTATTTCATAACTGTCAGCAAATAGGACTACATCATCAGCGTATTCAAGCGGACACCTGTTCTTATTTCGAAGGAATCTGTCAACTCCCCATATACACAGACTTACGCCAACGTGCGCTTATAAAATGCCTTTATAAGTCTGATGATTTTCTCTGGAACACCGTCATCATCGTCGTTCCATCATCCTCCAAAGCACCGCTCTATCACTTGAATCAAAGGCAATCGCAAGGTCGATGAAACACGTGACAGTGGGTTGTATATATTTGAAGCGATGTTCCAACACCCTTCTTAACGTGAATATCTGGTCAGCACAGCCACGCTCTGGTCTGAAACCAGCTTGATTAGGGCGCAACCTGCTGTCTCCATAAGTCTGTTGAGTAGCAGGGAAGCAAAAAGCTGAGACGTCTAATAGGTTGATTCCTCGATAATTGTGAGAATTGGGAGCAGAACTGCTTTGCTCCAATCATCTGGTAATATTTCTTTTTTCCATTCTAGAGAGTACATTTGTTGAAAGTGCGTTATGAAGGACGATGGACAGCATAAACTATATCAGGGGCAACAGATGGCGCTTCATGATTAAGTTTGGCCTCAAAGAATTCTTTCCATCTTATGAGGTGGTCCTTAATACTTTTGATCAATATGCCATTTCTATCTCTTACCATTTCACTAATCGTTATCTGAGTCATAGTTGCTTTATGAAGAAGGCGGAATAGTTTCCTACTGTCACCTAATCGAGCCGTCATCTCCATTCTCAAAGCCATGCCACTCCAATAGCGATGTCTGTCCCGTTCTATCATGCTGCTGTCGTTATAATTCTTCGAAGAACCCGATAGTCAAGATCACCTGATATTCATGCTTTGGTGGCTTTTTCAGACAGTTGGACAGTTGCTTGCGATATCCAACTACCGCACTTTCTACTAGTGTACCCTAGCGTGGAAGTGGTTCACTTTCAGAGAAATTCCTTTAGTTTGGACTAGCATTCATTTGCCGTTCCAGAAAAGTCATTGATATCTGTATCACTGAGATGCTTCAATAATTCAGTTTGAAATGTGCTCATTGTTCTCGAAATTTTTAGTTTGAGGTAGTTGAAGGATCTTGGGGGATGCTGTTTTCTGCGAGAAATTTTATGCGGATCTTGGCTCGAACCATAACATGGTCAGGTCCATGATGATTGCCCGTTTCAGCGCTAAGATAGGAACGATTATCAAGTACGGAACTTTTCCAATGGCGATTGACTAAGATGTAATCAATCTGGTTGAAGTGTTGGTTGTCCGGAATTCCACGTGATTAGACGTTTTCTATGATGCCGGAAGCAAGTATTAGTAACAAAAAGTTCATGCTCTTCGGCATAACGAAGAAGGCACCCCCCATTGGCACACTTGTCTCCAATGCCATTTTTGCCAATTGTTGAGGTCGCAGTGGCATTATGACCTATGCGAGCATTCCAGTCTCCCACGATTATGACCATGTCATATTTCAGTAGAGTCTTTGTTAGTTGAAGTTCCGCATAGAACTTATCTTTACCTCGGTCATCTGCCGATAGGGTTGGAGCATAGACACTGATGACCGAGATATTGCAGAACTTACCCTTAGAACGGGCATAGGCCATACGGTCTGTTACCGGTTTCCGCTCAATCAAAGCGGAATGGGTCAGACATGACAATCGCTATGCCATTTTGTCCCGAGTTATTGGAAGCACCTCAGTGATATAGCCAGTATCTCTGCTCTGAACCAGGATTAATAATTGCTCGAGACCCAAAGTGAGGATCTCCGACAAGCAAGCGATATCCACACGATACTTAGACAGAGTGTGATCGCTTGGCTTGCAACATCCATAAGCATTCTAACGTTCCACGCTGATACGGCTAATACCCCGCAGAGTGTGCAGAGGGCTGTTCTCCTTGATAGGTTTCGAGCAATTACCCTTGCTTGAAAGCACATTTTATTTATTAATCTTGGGATCGCTTTAAGCCCGGATTGTAAACTTATCGCATGTACCACCGGGAAGTGCCATGCGCGTCGGGAGACGCGGGCGCCGTATCAAGTTCTGACCCTTTCACCATAGAGTCACCTGGGGATAGAGTGACATGTTGGTTCCCAGCAATCTTCAATCTATTATCTAGTGGCGTTAAAATTCAAGCTGAAATTAGCACAGTTTAAACTGATACAACCAAATAAAATCTTATAAGTAGAAGCCCTCTTTAAGACTCTTTTTAGTTTTTTGTGAATCAAAATCAAAATGCGAAAACAAAAGGAAAAGTACCAATACCATTTCTAACAAGAAAATCACTGAGATGCTGCTCATATATTCATTTCCAATTTATTTAATGTTTTGGACTGAAACTTTGGATAAATTTTGTTTTAGCACCGAAAAAAGTTGGAAGAAGCTATTTGTCTAAATCTACTGGCAGATTCGTTTAGATTTGCTTAAACTCCAATGAGGAATTCAGATCCCAATTGATCTTTTTAATGTGAATTACAGTTCAATTTTTTTCGAAACTCTAAGGTGATGTATTAACTCCCCATTATTACCTTATTGGTCTTCTCGGTTAGATCCATTTTCCACCAGTGACCAGTATTATATGCTTTGAATTTCGGCTCAAATCGATCCGATTTATTGGGGATTTCCACGGTTTTAATTATGACGTTATCAATTCATGCGTCGCGGGAATCAGTTGGGAATTCCTTTTTTCTTACTTGGAGTGGACCAAAAATTAAATTCATTAAATGATATTTTACCAAGCCCTTTTAGTCATATATTTCTTTCTATTTTTAAGTAAAATAAAATAAAATGAATACAAATAAAATTTTTAAAATTCTTCTTTGAAAAGGAAAGCAAAAATTTCCTAAGATAAATGTTTACCATATTCTCTTAATGATCTTTCAACATATAAGAGCTAAAAGAGGATAAAATGTACTCTGGTAATTCTTAGTTATTCTTGAGTTTATATTAAACTCTAAAACCTTCGTTTAAGAGAGGGTGAGACTATAACTGCTGAGGTATTGTCAATAAATTTTTTAACCAAATTATTATTTTTTTAACTATTATAATTACTCTATGTTTAACTCCTATTTTAAAAAAATCCTGACTATCGTCCAATTAGCAATTCTATAAGATATTGTGTTAATTCCCTATTATTCCCTGTATAAACATCAACGGTAAGGAGAGATTCATTTGTAACGGACTACAGAGATAAATAGTTAAAATTCGTCAAGGGAGGACCTATCCGTTAATATTTTGTAAATGCAGTGAGGTGCCGGATATAGTTGCTTTGATAGTTGCTAGAACGCTTATGGATATTATGCAAGCCAAGCGACTCTCCAAACTACCTCTAAATACAGCGTGGATGTGGCCTGTTTGTTGGAGGTCCGTCTTCCTCATGTCGGCTCTTGAGTAATTATTGAACCTAGTTCCGAGTAAAAATATTGGCTATACATGTTTCGAGGGAAATGGCATAGTGATTGCCATGTCGGAAAAGGCTCAATCCGTTCCGCTCTGATTGAATGGAAGCCAGTAAATAACGTAAATGATCGTATGGCCTACGTATTCCAAGGGAAAATTATGCAATATTTCGGTCGTCATTGCATATCCTCCAATTTTATGCGCAGAATGACCGGGATAAGCGGAGCTTCAACTGTTAACAACTACTGGGAGATGACATGGTCATACTCGAGGGGGACTGGAATGCATGGGTAGATCATGATGTTGTTTCGATGAGCTTAGTAATTGGCAAATATGGTATCGGGATGCGCTGCATCAATGGAGAATGCTTTCTTTATTTTGCCGAAGAGCATGAACTCTTTATTAATACATGCTTTCGGCATCGGAGAAAAGATCTAATCATGTGGAACTCTTATCGCTGAAACTGGTAACATGGATCAGATCATGTTATGGTTCGAGCCAAGAAAGATTCGTATAAAATTGACAAGTCGTATGAAGAAACAACATATCCTAAGATCTTTCAATTATCTCAAATTGAAAGATCCGAGAGCAATAAGCATATTTCAAACCATATTATTGGATCTCAGCGAAATGAACGATAATGACATCTATGGAAAAACGAATGAATACTGGTCTCAACTGAAGACATGCCTACAGAAGTCAGCAACTTCCACGCTAGAGCACACAAGTAGAAAGTGCAGTTGTTGGGTATCGGAAGCAACTATCCAACTATCTGAAAAAGCCAAAGCCTGAATATCAGGATATCCTGACAATCGGGTGCTTCGAAGAATTACAACGACAGCAGCATGGTGCGCCAAAAATCACTATTGGAACTTGAGAATAGAGATGGCGGCTCAAATAGGTGATTATAGGAAATTCCACCTTCTTCACAAAGCAATTAAAACTTGAGAAGGGATCAATGAAATGATACGGGATATTAATGGGGCGCCTATTAAAACTACTAAGAATCAGAAGATGGAAAGAATTTTTTGAGGCCAAACTTAACTATGATGCACCATCTGTTGTCCCGAATTCTATTGATCTTGATTTGCCCGTCGAGCCTTATATTTGCAATTGTGAACCGCCAACAGATGAGGAATCTCTGTAATCCATAAGCTTAATGCCAATAAAACTTTCTGAGAAGATGGTAAACTCTTCAAATGTTGTCCATCATCATTCATAACTCACCTTCAATAAATGTACTCTCTAGTACATCCGAAAAAGAAATACTATCAGATGATAGGAGCAAGCAAAGCAATTTCTTCTCTCAATTCTCTCAATTTCTAAGAAAGGTGATAAGACGTACTACGACAATTATCGAGAAATCAGCCTACTGGACATATCTGGAAAAATTCTCTTCTGCTAAATAGACTCATGGCAACATGAGATAGAATGCGTCCTAACCAAGCTGGACCGGGACGCGGTTGTGCTGACCAGATATTCACGATAAGAAGGGTGCTGGAACATCGCTTCAAATACCAGCAACCCACCTGCTTGCTTTATCGATTTTGCAACTGCTTTCGATTCGATTGATAGATCAGAGCTCTGGAAAGTGATGGAATATGACGGTAAGATCATTCGGCTCATAAAGGCATTTTATCAGCATACCCTGGCACATGTGTGTGTATATGGGGAACTGCAGACTCGTTCGAAATAAAAACTGGCGCCCATTCTTTTTCCTACAATATTCAACTATGCGATAGACTGGATGATGGACATACTTTTCAGCATTCAAGAGGTGTCCAAATCACTTCAGAACATCGTATCGCAGACCTAGAATAGCTAATGATGTAGTCTTTTTTGCTAAGAGAGAGTTATAATGAAATGTAAATAATGTTAAACAATGCGCCAACTGCAGCGAAAATTGGACTCAAAATCAATCAAAATCAATATAAATAAAATAAAATAAAATGAAAGCGTATACTCAGGAAAGATTTTGAACATATAGGAGGACCAGCGATGGTATCGAGCAACATGGAGATGCCTTAATGTTGTAGCCAGCGGATCCAGCCTAACAAGTAATGGTGAGAGCTGTTAGAAGAAGAAGGCTGTAAACCAAACATGTTTTTCCTTAGGCGAAACTCCACAGCCTCTCAGACATTGGCCGATTTCCATGACTAGTTATTGTCGACTGGTTATGACTGGTTACTGGTTAACTGTGGTTAAATCGTCTTATTTTAGTTGCTTATTTAAGACTTGCTTTCCACTTACTTTCAAATATTGGACTAGCCACAGCCCTTAATTAATTTAGCATCAAGATCAAAATTCTTTAATTGTGTTTAACTGTGAGATTATTTAAATAGTCATTCCATCCGCATTAATAATATTCTCTATGATTTTATTATAGTTAAATCTGGTATAATGAAGTTACAGGTTCATTACTTTTTTCAATATGCATTAACTTTTAAAGCCAACTTTTATATTTATTTATAAGCAGATGAATGTAAAACATATTTCCCGAATGGCCAAAGAATTCAAATACTCTTCAGAGAGATTTGCCAGGAAATACAAATTGAATTACTCAATAGATAATATCTACGCCAAATATCTACGTTCAAATCTTGTTATTCCTGTTGATAACAGACTCTGACTCATATAAATAATTATTTAGACTATTTGATAATTGACGAGAAACTTAGCCATACATTACATAAAAGATACATTGTTAAAATCCTCCGTAACTTTGAACTTGTTGTTTAAAACTTTTAAAAATAAACCAAAAGATTTCCGAATTAAAATCGATAAAAATTCATAATGTAGTATATTACCCATCTAGATTTAGCAAACCAGTTAAATTTATCGAGGATTTACGAAAGTACTCCCTGCAGCGCGTAAATCTTAGCTACTTTTCTGTTTGCAGATTAAAACTAAATGTGAGCATTTTTACAACATTATAAGTAAGTAATAGTATAAGTAAACTAAGTAATTTTATGGTTTTTATTATATGCCTGCAAAATATATGATTTGGCATAATCTGTATAATAGTTATTTAGTTTATTATTCGAATGAAAAAAGATTCATGATTTCATCAATTCCATTAAATGGCATCAATATATATACAATATTGTATATATATATAATGAAACAGTTTTTCTAAACGAGAAATTCTGAAAGCTTTGGCTTTTCTCCCTTTACTTTTGTATTAAATTGTAATAAATTGGTTTCAACATTTGATATGACTATCGGTTGTACTTAAGAAAGAATTTTTCCACTACCAAACCTTAACCAAACCAATAATTTTATAGCAAACAAATATCATTGATACTATCTTGAAATGATCACTCCTGAATAAGATCACTCCTAAACATGATATAACTAAGCAACGATATGATTGTATATCATTCAATGATTACGTATTTAGAGCCATTTTTTTAAATTTGAAAAAAACATGTAAAGAAATGAATATAATACATACCTGAAAAAATATGGAGTAGTGATGAACCTAATAAAGTAATATAAGGATTCTCTTGGAAGGAGCAAATCGTTATATTGATCACACCACAAGCACTGAGGCATGTACCAAGGATTAGAAAAAAGGTAGCCTTTTTGACTGACTCTATAAAATATTTTACGCAAAAACTAATGAAAAAAATAAGGCATGAGAATTAATTATGAAAATAGATAAAATAGAAAATAGATAAATAGACATTACGTTTAATGGACGTCGTCACATCAGATGGCTCTTCAACGTGCAAATAATCAATTTTGTTGCAGTGAAATGGAGTAATAGCTGAAAATAGATAATCGTTACAGAACAAATTTTCCGAAATTTTGTATGAGTGAAAATGTGGCCAAACAAAAGAATAAATATAGATGCTATAAACAATTATAAATTTAAGAATCGTGAAGCGCAAAAAGTAGATCTTTAGTGAGAATGCAATGAAGTGGCCTCAGTCTTAAAAACGAACTGATTTGGGTGCCTTTACTTTTTTGTACTATATTTGTTCAAATTGTTTGATTTGAGTTTGGATTGTAATAATGAGAAAAACAATATAAAACATTCAATTCAAATTATAAAGTAGAAATTACTATAATATTAACAAAATAGAGTTCAGTAAAAATATATTCAATCTCGGCTGTTATTTTTGCCTAGGTCAGACCTTCTTAAACTGTATTTACATCATTTATTTGATGCGCGCAGTTGTTGCTTTTCAGTATGTGAATAAATACTAACGATCAAGCCAACAAAAAAACCATGGTCCAAATGTGGCATTTTTAAAATAAACTGGCTGATTCATTTGATCGTCATAACCTGCTGTCTTATTGGGATGTACATAATATTTCAGAACTTCAGCTGTATATAGCCAGTTGTTTGTAGTTACACCTATAATAAAATGGGTTAGGACATAGAAATGCCCAAAATATTCATATGATTATCTTATGATCATTGCTCATTATTTCAAAATATGTTTATTATTTTATTCATTATTAAATCGCATACTTATTAAATTAGCGATGCATGCCAATAACGAATTGCAGCATGCAAACTTAATTAAGAATCTCCGGTTGCTATCAGAAATTTTGATCAGTTTATGCTGCCAAACTGGAACGACCATCATCCTCGAAAGAGACTCAACTGTAAAATTTCTGTAAAAAATGGAAATTTGTCGAAAGATATTTAGTAAATAGTTTACATATACTGCTGGTGCCACCTAATAATTCTCTGGTGATAGGGTTTCATATTAGCAACGCGCTCAACCAAATCAAAAATAGAAATATAAGATTTGCTTGCGAAAGCTTTCCACACTCTATAGGTTTCCTTATCGAATTAGAAGGCTAATGAAGCTCGTAGAGTATTTCATACAATATTTTTATGGCTTTTAAACTATTATAAACATTTTCGGGAAAAAAAACCGTACAAATTTATTGCAAAAAAAGTTTTTTAGCGCTTAATGAACTGAATATTCAACAAATACGAAACGAAGCGAATTTATTAAATTCAAAAGTTGGCCAAATATTAATAATATACTAATATAAAATGACTTTTCGGCAATTTTTTTTATTCAATTTATTTAAATTTTATTGAAAAATTTGATTGATTTGATTTATTTGCTCTATTGAAGCAAATTTAAATTCCATAAGTATTTTTCCAGCATTTCAATTTTTCCATTTCTTTCAATTTTTAAATTAGAAAGAAAATTCCTTTAAAAAATTTTAGGCAAAAAATATATGTATATCGTTAATTGCTTGCATATTTGTTCATTAATCTTTTAGCACTTTTAGTACTCATCATTTTTGGTTTTGCTAACTCCACTTACTAATAGGTATGCGAATCACTTAGAATAAAAGTAATAAAAGTGCTGGGTCCACAGGATCTTTTATTATTTTATTTATCAATTTATAAATCATTGCGATTCTTTATAATTCATTTTAAATAAAAATTGAATTACGGCTTGAATGATTTTTTGATTTTTTTAAAAAACTCTCACCACTGCTGGTTCGCTCCACTGCTCAAGGACGAGAAAAATTTTGCCAGGCGGTCATTTAGAGATAGAAGTAGTCTTGAGCATTTTCACAAATTTTGATCATTAATGATAAAAAAACTTTAATATCTCGAAGCATTTATATTTACATGTATATTTATATAGGGCATGTAAAATTTTTTTTAAATAATGGCATTTATTCGAAAAAAATGAATAAACTGATGGATTGATTCATGAAAATATATTTTTCTTGACAAATCTTGTGGATTGTTTTCTTGCTTTTTCATTGTATAAGTTATTATCTTTTTTTCCAAAAATCAACTTTGCCAAGCAACTCCGTAGAATAGAAAAAAGCCGAGTTGGATGGATTCTATTCATATCGCTAACTAATTAACTAATTAAGCCTATTCGTGTTATTACAGTTATGTTGCATGCAGTCGATCCTAAAAGCTTTTTTGTCCACGATTTATGTGGAGTATTTTAATGGAACCAGATCAAATGAAATGAGAGTTCCTAAATTTATTATTTGGTCATTTCATTTCGATCCCTGCGAGGCAAAATTTGATGACTTATCTATGGCAGTCATTTATCAATGTTTGTGTTTATATTTATCATTCACATTATAAATTCAGTTTTTATCAATTTCTAAGTTCGATCGTTCAATGTTTTTCTTTTTTACTTTATGAATAAAAAATTCATATTATATTATTGCAAACTCATATTATATTATTTTTAACGAAGAAATTTTTAAATGAATGAATTGAAATTGAAGTCTATTGAAGAATAAAGATTTTTATAGAAAATATTTAGAATGAAAGAAAATTTATGAAAAAAAATATTTTCGGAAATTATTTCAAGAAAAAGAGTAATTGGGGATGACATCTGCTATAAATCTCTTAATTGCTTAGAATCGCCGAGTGATCTCGAATTTCAAGCTTTATTAAACTTGAATTGAATATTGCAAGGTTTCCGGTTGCGTATGGATTTTTTTGTCTCCTGTAATTGAATATCCTTCGATTATTAATCAATCATAAGCTGGATTTTTGTTTAATTCAATTTCATCCACTAGATGCGATAAAAATAATTTATGTTTTACTCATCCTTGCAAGGGTATATAATTTTTCTTTATATTTCATTATAAAATATCGATTTTATTATCAGTATTCAATAATATCAACCAAATCACGAATAAAAATATGGTAGCCTTTTCGATTCTCCCTTCATCAATCAAATTATTATTTTATCGATGATCTTATCGCTACAATCAGTCGATTTTTATTTGTCTTTCATGTATTCTATCGCATATAATTTCTCACGTTAATCATTACTTATCGATGAAAGCAATAAAATTCCCCGCGATCATCATTACTGCTAATCCAAAAATTCAATATAAATATGTGAACATCAACATGAATTATAAAGTTCTTAAAACTAGGAATCGATACAGAATTAATGGATTATTTTATGCAAACAATTATTACAATCTGTCTCCTTTTACCACATTTCTTTCGTGACCAGTGAATAAAGAAATATAGATAAAAAAGAATCTGAATCTCCATTTTATATAAATATCTGATTGAAAGCTGCAAATCTAACAATATAAGATGTGTTTAAGACGTACATTAGGTGCATAATTTGGTATTTAATAAACTAAATCTGATTCGTATTTTTTGCAGGGATCCAAGCGACAAAAAATGAAAAAAGAAGTGGTTCAGCGAATTTTAGGCATGGATAGGGAGGCTTGGAAACGTTTTACGATGGTGGTACAAACCAAATGACAGGGATAAAAACAATGGTAGGAAACATAAAAAAAGTTTGTTTAAGCACGGATCTTTTCAACTGAGCTTTCTAACCTTTTTCATATTACGGCTAATGCAAATTTGACTTTGATTTTTCTCTTCGAAACAGATTAGTGAATAAAAATCCTGTTTCGTAGTGCCGATTTATTTTGCATGCATCATTTATTTTTGTGATGACCGCTAATCACTTAAATAAGAATGGAAAGGAAAAGGAACAAAATTTTTAATGCAGTCTTAACTGAGGGTCAATAACTAATTATCATTCGTATTATACCTCTCGGTCAGACCGATTCACCACTTCGTCTTTCTTTTATAAACGGCTGTGCTTTGATCTCGACTTTTATACTTGATGTATAGAATTCTAAATTGGGGCCAACAGCTTATTTTCTTATTGAATAGTAATTTTTTGAACCTGTTGATAGCCTAGAAAAACTCATCAGATTGCTGCCTTATGGTAAAATATGGACCATTCATATTGCTTGATACAAAGATTTAACAAACTGGCAAAGTAATATAGCGAAGCAAATTAGAAAAGAGTTAATAGAAGTTGAGTGATCCTTTCGAAATTTAAATCCATTAAGAAAAATATGCAGTGTTGAAAGAGTATCACTCCATTATTGCTGCACCTAAATCCTCAATTGAATAAACTGTAATATGTCGTTAAACTTGTGAGTTAAAGTACCAAAAAAATGAGGTCCCATATGGTAGCAAGCATAAAGAATATAAACTTACATGGTTCAAAGCCTCAGCTCCTCAAAAATTTCCTCTTGTTTCTGCGATTGCCCCCAAATTAAAATTGTTTATCCGACAAGCAAATTATGGCAGTAATATCCTTGCTCCAGTGAAAGTTTAAAATTTTAAAATTTTAAAAATTTTTAACTAGATTTTTAAACTGCTATCCATATTAATCTTGCAAACTTAAAAATCATTCGTAAACTATTAATTTATGAAAATTTTTATTGGGCAAAATATAAACACTCTCAACGATCGATTTCACTTCATGTGACAAAATTAACATATTTATGAATAGAGGACCTTGACGATTCATTTGCCGACGACCTCATTGAGGTGATAGGTGCTAAAATTGATAAATGCTGAAAATAGATTTATTTATGCAATAGTAATTTGACATCTCTACTCACTTTATAGATTATCGAACACATATAATATCATGACAATTGATCCTGATTAATGATGGCTGCATAATTATATGCTTATAGACCTGCAATAAGTGAGAGATATCAACGATAGAATGTCTCAGTAGATGGTTCAAGAGCGCCGATTCTGAGGTCCTACTGGTGCTGAAAATAAACCTTTCTTTAGAATGGCGAAATTTATCAAACATGGCAAGTGGAGCGAGTTCAACCAGAGCTTTTAAAAAAAATTACAGAAAATTGACATCCATGTTTATTTTATATTATTTCAAACGAATGCTATAAATGGTTATTCTACAAGATATATTCATATTTAATAGATTTATGATTAATATTTTAAATAAGGGTTATTGAGTTTATAAAAAGTACAGTTTGCATACAGCTAATTTCTAAAAAAGTTTCATTAAACAATTCTATTCTATACTTAGATATCAAGCAATTCTATACTTAGATATCAAGCTGATTTATAACAACAGTTGTTAAATAACCAAAAATTTGGATGAGCTGAAATGGATTGAAAAATATAAGTCTGGATTGAGGCAAAAATCAGTGAAATACGAAAATAACTTTTTTTTTATTCTAAATTGGCCTTATCGCAATGCGTAATAAAGATGTTGCATTGTGAGAAAATAGCAATCATCACAAATCCATCACTCAAACGACTTTGATTATGAGGATTGATAAAATCTTAATCGATTCATAGACTGCCACCATGACCTTGGTCATAAATTGGTTAATACTTTTCAGTGAATATGTTACTCATAAAATCATCCCATTTATCCTCTCTAATTACGCAGAAATCTGCAAACAACAAAATTAAATTAGACTATTCTGCGGCAAAACAGTGCGATATCATGCTTCTATACCCCAAAAAACTTAATCTGAACTCTCGAAAAAGAGTGAAGTGATAAAGAAGGTGAAAAGTAAATATGCCACAAGTTTCTCA